CACTCACTCACCTGGTGACTGTGGACGGCTCTAAAATAACATCTCCTAAATACCTAATATTTTTTCATTCTGTATATGAGGTCTCTTTAGCGTTGGAGAGATCATTTGTAAAAATCAATTTAGGGATTAATTTATAGTTTGAAAAGTAAATAATAGTAATGAAATCCCTGGCAGCATGTTTCTGATTTTAGTAAGTCAACAGAACAAAAATAATTTTAGTTTGTTCACCATCACATGATAAACATATATAATCTAAGTGAAGCAACTTTTGTCTCCAGATTTGTCGGTCATGCTGTGTATGTTTACCACAAAATGATCTCACTAAATGGGACTACAGTGTATGTTATGTCAATACAATTTACTGAACTAGCTGCCTGGAGTATCCATATGAATTCATTTGTAATACCAAGCCTTGGTGACAGATAATCCATATCATATCACCGCTGGTATTTGTCCCATCACTCATATTTGATATTCAGTGTTGCATCTGCTAGTGTGGCAGTGGTGCATTGTTATCTGATGACCGTGGAAGTAATGTATAAGCCAGATTATGTATGTGCCAAATGTTTTAAAGTTCTCATCACATATAACATAGCCACTAAACAGTAGTGAGTGAGTGAGTGAGTGAGTGAGTGAGTGAGTGAGTGAGTGAGTGAGTGAGTGATAGAGTGTGTGAGTGATAGAGTGAGTGAGTGAGTGGAGTGAGTGAGTGAGTGAGTTAGTATGGTTTATGCCCTTTTTAGCAATATTCCAGCAATATCATGGCAGGGGACACCAGAAATTGGCTTCACACATTGCACCCATGTGGGGAATCGAACCCGGGCTTTCGGCATGACGAGCAAACTCTTTAACCACCAGGCTGCCCCACAAAACAGCATATCAAATGTAATTACATTTTAATCAACAAAAAACACACAAACAAATAATATATTCTTCAAACCCCATAAGCCCTATCTGCACATTGTATACTGTAGAACTCATGGCTGCTTGCTCTTGAAAAATAACTGTCTTTATGCATGATGTGGTCACCATAGTCAAAGGAAGGAAATACAAAAATATATATTTTTTACCATTTTCCACAACCACAAATTCAGATTTACAAATGCTGATTTCTTTGGCTTTGTGCATGGTATGAGTGTGAATGAGGGAGTTTGGTTTGTCGCCGCTTATAGCAATATTCTAGCAATATCACAGAGGGGGACACCAGAAATTGGATTCAAACACTGTACCCATTATTGCTCAAACCCTACCCCACATTTCGACTTGTAATGTATATATCATGGACATTAAACATGCTGTTGTGTCATCATCTCAATATCCACCAATTAAATTTTACATGGTAACTTTTCATTGTTATATTTTCAAATTTAAAAACAATGCACAATTTCTTTATGTGGCTGGTATACATCAAAAGACAGTAATTTGGCGGCAGTAGGGTAGCCTAGTGGTTAAAGCATTTACTCGTCACACCGAAGCCCTAGGTTCAATTCCCCACATGGGTACAATGTGTGAAGAGCATTTCTGGTGTCCCCTGGAGAGATATTGCTGGACTATTGCCAAAAGCGTAGTAAAACCCAACTCACTCACTCATTTGCTTACAATGCATTTCTTACTAGTGGTCATGTAAAATGGTATGGTAATATAACAAGAAGTCTGCCTATATTGTTACAAGTTGCAGAATAACAGTCTAGTGACCATATGTAACCCTGACAGCCATCTGGCTGGAATATTGCTGAGTGAGGCATTTAACAGCAAAAGCCAGTTGGAAACTGCTAAAAAAATTAGGGATCATGAATATTCTGGGTGTTATTTCTATATGAAGACCAAATTTTTGTATATGTGTATGGTATGTAAATATATTTCATGATTCCAAGCCCTTTTTGTTCAACATAAGAGTTTTCACCACTTCTGTTTCAAAGAGAAGGGCAACATTATTCACTTTGTTTATAGTTTAATGACAGAGTCAACAATATTTCAGTATCAGTCAACCAGTAAATAGTCTGGACCAGACAAATCCTGCACAGGTTCGATGTAATGAGGAATGCACATATCGGTCTCGCCAGTAGACTATGACATGCAAGCTCTGAAGTTACCGGGCATAATCAATCAATCTAATTCTACTGCCTCTGACAACATATATTAGTGTGCTGTAAACCTATGATATGTATCTTGTGGCACATTGTACGAGAGCAGATTATACTACGGGAATTTCTATATGCCTAATGATACGTCATGCTGCTCATCAAATTCACGGATAAGTCATTCAAAGTCACTTCGTCTCCTTGTTTACAGTTATTCCATTCAATAACTACCCTAATTACATCCACACAGATGAGACAGGTTTCACACATGACATTCCCCATAAAAAACTTCATCTTGGCTTGAACTGAACAGGAGGTCATGGAATTATAAAGTCTTTGTAACACCAATTCTCACGATATGATTTTACCGAATCTATAGTAGCAATTGTGGAACATGCATTATCTATGCATGCAGACTACTGAAAATATATCAGGCGGCCCATATATACAAGGCAGGATGAATGTGTCATTAGATAATGAATCATCATGTAGTTTATTGAATGCAGTTATGACATTTATACCTAGACGTGTATTGTCCGACAGGGAAATAATTCACATACCAACTTGTCCTGTCAGTATGATCAATGAAACTCATTCACTTGCAATGAATTCTGTAAATAGTGGCGGTAATATTTCCTTGTCACTTCCTGGTCTCCACACTCATTATGAATGACAGGGAAATGTTATGCATATCATTTTGTTGTGAGGTTCTTCAGTTAGACATGTTGGAGATACTGTCAACACAATAATAAATGTCTCTCAAAAACCATGGAAAAAAAAATATAATGAAAGTGAGTGAGTATGGTTTTACACCGCTTTTAGCAATATTCCGGCAATATGACAGCAGGGGGACACCAGAAATGGGCTTCACACAAGTTCTAATGAAAACAATATAAATCTGATCAATCCGAGTTTATAACAATCCATTACAGCCTTGCCAAATGTCATAAACAATTCATTTAATGAATAAAACCTTCACAGCCTTTCTATGATTTATAAAAAATGTAGTTGTGTTTCATATAAAGTGGTGTAAATGTCACGTTACTGAAAATAACATCATACTTGGTCATTTCGTCTGATCAATGTTTTACCATAACAAAATCATTGACAAAACCCATACCTAGTAACAGGAGGCAGTGGGACACGCCCTGAAGGACGGGTGGTGTAATAACTCGGATAACGCGTCAATACTGGGTGTGACCACCATTTGTGCTAATAAAGCATGGCAGTGGCAGTGCATTGGAGACACCGGATGATTGACACAGTCTGGGAGATGTTGGTCCAAATGTCAACCAAAGATTGCCCAACTGAATAGTGTCAGACATGTTGTATGGAGGAGAGGTTGGGGGGGGGGGCAGCCGAGCAATGTTATGGTGCCATAAAAAGTCAGTTACAGAAAGTGCCACATGTTGGCAGGCATATATTTCCCTGCTACAACCGCAGAAGAGGATGGAACATGATCAGATAATCTTGGACAATTTTGTTTCTGTCATTTCATACCCACACTCTTGAAACTGACTTCACTTTGTAACACAGGTGTCCCTTATTCATTCTCTTGGGTCCTGTAGACGACCTTGCACGACCTCTCAAGATGAAACCTATCTGAACATGGTACCGTCCCTGTCTTATCCTATCATTTTCAGATGCTGTCCGCACCATGTGGATGTTGTAGCGCCAATAAATGTATCACTGGAATACTGCTGAATGAGGCATTAAACACAAGACATCAATTGCTTTTAGTATCAGAAACAAACAGAACTGACTTTCACTTTATTTATTTGGAGTATGAGCCTTCTAAGAAGAGCACCCAGCTGTATGAACGTTGGAGTTTGGATGTGCATTTCATCGTTATGATCAGTCAAAGTGACAATATTCTTGATAGTACATGCAATTAAACTAACTGCCTTATCCCAATTTATACTAAAATATTAAGTTCAAGATAAAAGCTAGGTTATGAATGATCACTATAGTGATCTTATAGTACTCAGAACACAATAGTTCTCAGAAAATACAGAATGCAGTCTTGTGAAAAAAAATATGTGAATTTCAAAATGTGTCGTTCATACACTTAAGAACTTCAGATTTCATGTGATGACTTCTGGTCCAATTGAAAAGCAGTATTTCATGTAAACTTCACATTAAAAATTCTTTCATTTTGGAAGGGGTCCAATGTTCATTCGCTGCATGTACTTCCAAACTCAATGGTAGACTTTTTCTACCAGGGGTGGATGAACAGTTCTGAGTCTAACTATGATGGACTGCATTGATAGAGTTGGTTGCAAGTCATCTTTCAAAATGATCCCCTCTGAAGTCCACACATTTCACCCAACAACACAAACATGCCTGGATCCCAATGGTGTAGATGTCCTCTTGGTAGTGGATACATCCTTCATGGCGGAACTGATGTAATATCACTTGCATAATTCTTAACAGGACATTCTTTGATCGAGTGAGGGAAGAGGAGGAAATCTGACGGTGCCCACATCTTGTGAATGTGGATGATGTCAATAAATTTAAACAACAGACGCATTGCAGACTGAGGTGCAAGTACAGTCTTTAATTAAGAGACGACACATCTTTATTTTTCCCCCACAATTGTGTCTGATATTCCTATTTAGCGGGCTTTTCAGACCAGCCATTTGTGGTCTGACCTTTCCCATGGTAGTCCTTCAGCAGGATTACTGTGGAATCTCAGAAAGGCAAAGCCGTATCACATTGCCAAACATGCTTTGTTGTCTTCTTCTTTGTTGGAGATGTTATATGACGGCACAGGTTTGACTGTTGTTTAACTGTTTTGTCGGTTGTTCTGGTGAACGACCCAATCCTGATCCATGGTTACAAAACAGTCCAACTGCAGCCTGGTCTGTTCAAAACAACATGAATTCTCACCAGAAATGGAGAAATCTGGAGCGTTTCTGATCAGGAGTTTGAAGCATCTGAACTTTCTGTCATGCCTAGTTTATTACTGAGAATGTTGGAAACTCTCTCTTGAGAGATACCTACTTTATTGGCTATGCGGCGTGCACTGATTCCTGGATCATTCAAAATAATACCACATATTTTATCAACATTTTCCTTAGTGGTCACAGTTGTGGGTCTTCCTGATCTTGGATCATCTTGGAGACTCTCTTTTCCCCTCCTGAACTCCGCTGCCCACCTTTTAACAGTGGCAAAGGAAGGAGCATCCTCTCCTAACGTTGACACCATGTCGGCATGGATGGCTGTTGGGGTGAGCCCTTTCATGTGGAGATACTTGATGACAGCTCGGTTGCCTATTTTGTCCATTTTCATCAACAGAGAATGCCTGGTGACTTTGGTGCCAGCAGAAACCGCTGCCTGGTTTTGTAGCTGGTTCCAGTGCAGTTTGTAAGCACTTGGTGAACAAGTTGTCTTATTGAGTAGGCGAAGGCTTTTATGTAATACATGCAAACCGTAGCTTCTGATTTCATTTATTTAGGCTCAGAACTTTTCAGCCACCCCACGTATTTCTTTGTAGTGAATATACGATAGTGCTTAGTCATCATATTATAAGAACTATAAGGAGATGGAGAGCTGGTACATTTTTCACTCTCTCTAATACACGTATGTATGGAAATGTACACGCTATATAGTGTGACAGTAGTAAGAGTGATGTACGAAACTACTTGGGTCGTCGACACTTCGAACTCCAAACAGCGCATGCGTCCGCTCCATCGCCCGGTGTCATCGCTGTAAGGAGTGCGTCAGCTATTTCCCACATTTGTTTACATGCTGAAAGGTCCATTGTCGAGAAGGAGCTGAAATGGTAATGTACCGCACTTATCGTTTTCAAATTTCTTATTTCTTACTATTCTATTCTTAAACACTGCAGTCGCATACAACGGTTTTCAATCATGCAGGTGTGTGAATCAGATACCTTCGTCAATTGTCACTATCACCTATTCCATTTGATTATATAAACGCTAGCACTGAGAGTATGTTTCGTGTATCGACGTAAGTTTACATGGTTAAATAGGGTAAGCTAGTAGGTCTTATCCTTTAAGTTGGATGTTTTGTTATTTATTCACCAAATTCTAGAAAACCAATCAAGCAGTTACTGTCAGCGAGTGTTGGAAGCCTGTCAGTTCAAAGGTTCACTCTACTGCTGACCCAGATCAAACATGGCTAGAGAGTGCATGCAAGCATCGAATCAAGTTCAAACAGGTGTTGGCAAGAGTAGATGGACTTTGATAGATACCCAGCCTTCAAATGATGTCAGGAAAAGAATTAGTCGATATGAGAATTTTGTTCATGGGGGCTTGTAGTGCAGTGTAACCTGGTAAGGTACAAACGTGGTCATTCATTTATTGGTGGGGGATTGGATGATGGGGTTGAGGGGGGAGGTAGAGTGGTTAAGGGGGTCTTCACTTTTCCTCAACTGACCCAGCCATGATTATCATGATTGTGAGTCAGCATGCTTCAATGTGATAGTTGATCTGTCAACACTGTGATGTATGTCATGAGTTTATTTGATCTGGTTATCCTTAAGCGTGGTAACTGACAGTCACTGACAACAGGCTATTATATGTCAGTAAGAGGACAGTCTAGCCTCTCCTATATAGGTGCAGGTGCATCCTGTTCATGCTAAGGTTTAGAATTTGATCTTCCTGTGGATTAAAAACACTGATAATGAAACATGTCTGTGATCTGGGTACAAGTTTTACTTGTGAGTTGAGGTGAGGTGAAATTGGGTTTAACGTTCTGCTTGAGAATATTTTGCTCATATGACGACGTGCATGTGTGTGTATGTGTATGTGTGGCTGCTTGTACTAGCCCAGACTTAAGCTGGTTTTATAGTGCTAGCCCACTGAGATACCATGCCGCAGTGAAGCATGAATACCCCATTCAGACACATTATACTGACTCGAGCCGACCAGTCCTTGTCGCACCCATTAATGCCGAGCGCCAGGCAGGGACCAACAAGTACCATATTTTAACATCTTTTGGTATGACGCGGCCAGGATCGAACCCACGACCTTCCGCACTCCGGGCGGACGCTCTAACCACTAGACCACGGAAGCGGTCTTTACTTTTGAAGTTGAAGTAAGCTCAGTGACCAGAGACCATGTCTCACTGGCAATTATATTTGAAACATACGGACATGAGTTTGTAAATAGGGTTCAACAAGTGTTTGGCATCTCACTGTGCTATGTCCTCTATATAGCAGAGATATTCCTCATGGGATTGAATCCCAGGATCCCTGATGGTGCTTCATGGTTTGTCTGCACCATGCTGTCATCTTTACTCTGTAATGTAAATGGTTTGCCAACCAAGCCAGAGGCCATTATAGAATGTGTTTTGAGATTATTCGAGGAAAGAATATTAGTTATAAGCAGAAAGACACCTTTTGCTTAGTCTTGTGTGAAACATTAATTATAAATATATAGCAAAACATCATCCTCATCATTTGTGAATCAGATACTGGTGTAAGACAGATAGTTTGCCTGTTCAGTATTTGGTGGGATACTTACCAACTCAATAAAATTCACTGTTTCTGTTCAAAACCATGTGCGCATGTGTGTGTCTAAACCCTAGAAAACACCAAGTTTAGTGGAGTCATAGTTTTGGACTGTTTCACACTGACATTGGCAGCATATTGTAAAATCAATTTGATGAGCAATTTATCTCCAGCTTATCACTGTTCAAAGTTTTCAGTTTATAATATAGCAAACTAGACTGAATAATTAAACCAGGTAAACAGCACGGATTTAATCCAGCTTTGTACTATATTCCAACCATATCAGAGCAGCTATACCTAAGATTGGGTTTACCACAATCAAAGTTCTAGGGATCTAACCTATAAGGGTGGGTAGTGCAGAGAATTTTCATATTGCGATATATTGCATGCGAAAGCATGTATTGCAGTATATTGCATGAAGTATTTCTAAACAAAAACTACTTATAATCCAGTTAATGCTTGAATTATAGAGGAAAAACACAACAAAATCACTATGCTTGATTAAGCTTTAATAACAACTTTTAATCATGATAAAATATAAATGTGAATAATATTTGGCACAAACGAAACAAGGAAATATCGGAAGATTTTCAAGTGTTACGAAGTTTTCCGAATGCAAGTCAAAATACCGGTTTTCGATCAGCATATTGCAATACGTATCGTTTTCACGTCTGAACCGGTAAATACCGGTAAACCGGTTATATTGCGCAGCCCTACTAACCTAGAGGCAGAGGTGACCACTTCGTTACTCAACCACCAATCTGAATTTAGATAACAGGTATGTCATGTTGAAGACAGCTAACAACTCATTGAAGATAAACCCTGTGGGCATGGCACTTGAAGACTAACTTGATATGGTAGAGGTCATATCAAACTGACCTGTACAGCATTTGTGCAGCCAGTGAACAGTGTGCAGGTGTGAAACAGCTGCAGTCTTGTACACGACACATGTAATATCCTGTCAGCAGGAAATATGTGGGATGATAGCTGCCACACATGAGGCCCATGACACACCCTGGACAATGAGTCCAAACAGATGCTGATTTTGAGCAGCTCAAACTAAAAATATCCAACCAAAACTATGAGAACTCTATCTCAAACTGTTTGATAAGAAACATACATGACCAAAATGACACTGGGGTTTGATCAAAGGCTTCCCCAGTGGTAGCTAGGCTAACCATCTTCATCTTCATTACGGTATAAAGGAGATATATTAAATAAAAACTTCTTAATATGTGTTAAATGGTCAAACAGAATGTACATTTTCAGTTACTAAAAAGTGATATTATTGTTGTCTATAAAACAAATGACAACTGCCCAAATCCCACCAGCAGTGCATTAGATAAATGTTAAATAGTCAAATACAGTATATAATTACCCATAGAAAAAAGTCCTATGTGATTTTATTGTTATCTATAAAAAACAACAGACAACTGCCCAAATCCTACCACCAGCTCATATGCCTATTAAAATCCCAGCTAAGGTGTTTTGACGTCGATAATTAAATTAAAATTTATCTTGGGAACTCTCTGTTTTACTGGTTACTGATAATGTGAAAAGTGTTTGTGTGTCAGTTTTACTAGGTAATCATGGATGTGTTTCATTGGACTTATGTTTATTTTCAATCATTAATGATCATTCAAAGGTTAATCTAGGGTTTACAAATGGGTTATGTGACAAAAAACTGTTTCAGGATAGAAAATAGAAATATGGTGCACATTCCTTCATAAATCATAAAGTGACAGGTATAGATGAGTGCTATATTATCAGTTTTATGTCAGTATCTTTTGTTAAACTATTGTCTGTCTATTTATTCGTTTATGTGTGACCCTCTCTCTCATGTACAGTAGTCAATGGCAAAATTATGTGTGTTTTGGGACAACAGTAGTAGAGTGCTTATTGCTAGCTAAATGTCAGTCACTATTATACATCTCTATATCAATGAAGTACCACTTTTAAAACCACCCATAGCTAGCCCACATGTTATGTTTGGGATTTGTGGAAGTTCGCTGGCTGAGTGGGTTAGATGGCTGACTTTGTGTGCTGGCGATTTGGTGCCTGACTCTGAGGATTCAAATCCCAGATTGGACTCAACCCAATAAAAGTACTAGAATCTGTACTTTAGTCAGAAAATGTAATCCCAAACATAACATGAGTTACATTTGATCACTTTCTAAATGGCACTGTGTATTCAAACGGGCTATGTGACAAAAAGCTGTTTCAGCTCAGAAAATAGGAATGTGATGTACATTCTTTCATAAATTATAAAGTGACAGGTATTATCAGTATTATTATCTGTGCAGTATTATCAGTTTTATGTCATTATCTTTTGTTCAACAATTGTCTGTCTCAAACTGTTATCATGTATTAAATTTATCTTAGAAGAATATAGTCGCTTTTGTACCATGGTATAGATTAAGACTAAAGACACTTTCGCCTGAACTATTTTTAACGTTAAAGCACTCGGATGCAAGCGTCTTCGTGACTTTAACTATAATAGTTCAGGGCGAAAGTGTGCTTTATTACACTGTACATGGTGGTAGAGCGAACTGTATTTCTTAAATGTGTGTCTCTCTTACATGCAGTAGTCAATGGCAAAATGTAAGCTGATGTATAAAAGACAGTAAACACTTGAGGGGGATAGTGATAGTCTATTGCAACATTCTATTGCGACCAAATATTGCAATACTATTGGATTAGTCTTTTTCTCTTTGAATTGTCTCAGTTTTAGTCTCTTTTACTAACTGACAAGAAACTTGAAACCCAGATCAAGTAAACAGTTAAAACAAACTTATTTTTATATACAATTTCAAACTCCAAGATGCATGCTGTGTTTGCCGCCATGTTTGTTTAAGAGGTAACAGGGGTGAATAACTAAAGATCTGGTACTTCCTGTATTTTGTGCTGCGCATTTATCAACGGAAGACAATTACTAAACTATGGATAGTCACACATACTATCAGTGCATCAATATTTTTTCATTTCTACCATCGATTGATTGCAATCAGAGACTCAACAACTGCAATCCATCGATAGTTCAATGAATCATTACAGCCCTGGTACACATGTGGTGCTTTGGGTTAATTCCCCCCACCACCCCCAAAGTGTTACTTAACTAAACCACAGGGGCTTGTAATGCAAAAAAAACTGACCCAGTCAGTGATAATACATACCTTGATGCCAGATTTTTTTCTGTTACAAGCCCTGTGAACTAAACAGTAAACTATTTAGAAAAGCGTTCTGATTGTCTGATTTACAAGTCTCTGTGTACATGTTGTGTACATCACATATATTGCACCCTGTTGCAGCGTTACTTGTGCCTCGAGTTCCTCACCCAACATAAATGATGATGTTGATGGGTTAATTACATGCCCTGAAATGGTCAAATGGCCCAATGACCCAGAATGCTGACAGCTAGTCTTAGTCTCATCACTGTGGTCCACCTGATGCAGTCACCCAACTTTGTTAATGCTGATGACATTTCTGTGAGCCTCTGGTTGTGCAGATGGAGAATGTTCAGGTGATGGTCATCTTGCGGGATAGTCAGTCCTGGTCTTCCAGTTCTTGGACTGTCTCATGTCTGTCCAGTCTGGTAGATGCGTCTCATTAGACAGATGACAGTCTGCCTCGTACAGATAAACATTCTGGCAATTTTGCTGTTCGAAGCTAACAGCTTCGACATTCCAATGGATTGTTCTTGCTCCTTTGCTGATAATCTTGGTGTTTTGATTTGTGCCTTTAACAGCTATATCACTAACAATCTCAGTCCACTGTGTTTAATACATAACAATTTGGCTATTAGCATCCCCCATCTGATATTAGTGATATGAAAGGACATGTGTTCCTCAATTCAACTTCACTCCTGTAGTCCAACCATGGATTTTAGAGGCATGATCATATCACTCCTTGTCACTTTCGGACCGCCTCTGTGGTGTAGTGGTAAGAGCGTCCGCCCGGAAAGCGGAAGGTCGCGGGTTTGATCCCCGGCCGCGTCATACCTAAAGACGTTAAAATATGGTACTTGTTGGTCCCTGCCTGGCACTCGGCATTAATGGGTACATCAAGAACTGGTCGGCTCAGAGTCAGTATGGTTTAAACATATTAATTTCCAAAAGAGGAACCGGATTGGTAAACAAGCAGTATGGTGCTTATATGAATACCGCTCCGGAATACAGATATATTATAGATATAATAATCGTACGGAGAAAAACATGATATTAACAAACGATAAACAATAGCTTTCTGGAAATGTGACAATCATAAACTGTAACATAGCCGCTTTTAACGTTAGAACCATTAGTGTCGGAAAATACTTAATAGTAAGTGCAATTTCGTTTTTATATTACAACACAAATCTGCCTGACAGTACATTGAAAGAATGGATAGATTCTAATAATTCAACATTACCTTTAGTAGATCCATGAGAGTGGCCGTATAGCATTGATTTGATGTCATATCCTTTAGTATAGAAGTGCATTTTATGTCTTATGTCAGTGTAATTAACGCACGAAAAGAAATAGTGAATTGGATCTTCGTAACAGTAGCCACAAGAACAAGAGGGATTTGAAGATATAAATCGTTGATATTTATGTGTGTTTAAATCGCTGCAACTGAGCCTGAGGCGTGAATGGATAATCTGACAGAATCTTGTTCCAAAGCTTAAATTGAAGTAATTTTGACTATTATTATTATTTTACCAATTAACCTGTTTCTTAAAACTACCCAAAGTAGCCGTTTCTCTATAATCGGTAGACAAACAATTCCACAATCTTACTGTATCTGGGAGAAATGACTTAGCATAACTTGCACTTTTACTATCGATAGTTTGGAGCTTCAAACGGTCTCGGAAAATGTAGCTTGTTGTGTCAGATACCTTAGGAGGGACGAGATCGCTCAGATATTTTGGAGTTAAATTATTAACCATCTTATAGAAAAACGTTAGTTTTTGGATGTTTATTCGAGTACATAGTGGTTGGAAGTTTGTCTCATCATAAATTTTGTTGTGACTCGTGCCGCGAACAGCACCGCAAATAGTTCTAAGTGCATCAAGATTAAGTTTTTCCAGTGTTAGTGCTTGCTGTTTGGTACAATTGTCCCAGATGTGACAACAATAGTTGAAAATAGGTAAGATATATTGTTTGTACATTGTTTGTAAAGTTCTACGTGAGAGACGATATTTAAAACCTCTAAGACAGTTTACCATGGGTGCAACCTTTTTAGCGATACAGTTAACATGGTCAGTCCAGGAACAATCGTGCTGTAAAGTAAGTCCCAAATGTTTATGGCTATTAACGTCATTAATATTACCATCCTTCATTGTTAAAGGTCACATGCAACCAAAAAATCAAACATAATTAAAACACAATTATCACTTCTTCATGACATATAATATGCATTGCTGATTATGAAAAAAGAAATAAACAAAATTATAAGCGTATAATCGCAAATCAAAAGTGCAATATTTTGTACTTGGGTTTACCTCCCTCGAAACAAAGCAGCCGGGATACCGAACCCAGTCAGAGCGGATGGTTGTGCACTCAAGTGTAACGGCTGGTTCATTAGCAGATGCTGCCTTCACGGCTCATTGTGTGTGTATATATAGAGATGTTGGGCTGTATAAATACCCCCTTTTTTTTGTGTGTATAACATTTTGCAATCAACAGACATCATAACATGTCATGTGTTCAAGTATCACGCCTGCCTGTCTGTGTAATTACATAATGTGACAGAGACCGAACTCGGGCCATAAATCAATGCGTTTTGTTTATGGTGTATAGCCTGATTGGTGTTAAGTTCAAATTGCATGTGGTCAGTGATCGCAGTTGTGTATTGAATATTGTCATTAGCAGACAGGCAGGCAGACACACAGGTGTCAATAAAACAAGACATTGAGTTTTGTCTGTGACAGCGACATCTATATCACAGTTAGAAATTGTGTCAACGCTAAATAATGACATTGCTTTTAAGTATCGAACTGAGAAAGTGACTCGGTAAGAAGAACGTGTGGTGAAATAGACAAATGAAATTATATAAACAGTTTAGTTACTGTCATAACATATAAAAAAATGCTCGCTTGTGAGATATCAACAAAACATTAGGAAAATAGCTCACACCAAAGCCTTCACCGAGTATTCACCAGACAGCCTGCTTCCAAGTTGCGCAAACCTATTTCACTGCGCACGTGCTATGAGCGCAGCCCAGCTGTTGAAACCCGTATTCCCCAGAAAAGTCTGGGGAAAATTAGTGAAACGTTTGAACTCCGATTTCGCGCGTTTTCATCGCGTTATTTTTCAACTTTATAAGTTGAATTTGCATTTTTGACGCTTTGTTTCGGTAAGTCCATACTGAAAGGTATCAGAATCTGCAAAGTTGTGTTTTACGTTGCATGTGACCTTTAAGTTCCGTTTTGGGCTGGGCTGAACTTTACGAGAGAATTGTATAGAATCTGTTTTATTATGATTAAATGTAACTTGCCATTTGTCAGCCCAATCAGAAATTTTACGTAGATCATTATTAAGAGACAGAGCAGTTTCATCAGGATCATTTATTATAGCATAAAGTGATGTGTCATCTGCGAAGAGGCGGATATTGCTGTTTATTCCTTCAACGATGTCGTTGATATAAACTATAAACAATAATGGTCCTAAGACAGAGCCTTGGGGAACCCCGGCTAGGATTGATCTTTGATCAGACGCGTAACCATTAGTAACAACTCGCTGAACTCTATTGTCTAGATAACTCTCAAACCATTTCAACAAGTTACCCCCGATACCATAACGTCTTAGTTTATGTATAATACCTTTATGCCAGACCTTGTCAAAAGCCTTACTTACGTCACAAAATACAGCCCTAATTTCCTTACCGCTATCTAATCAGTATAATGTGTCTGAGTGGGGTATTCATGCTTCACTGCGGCATGGTATCTCAGTGGGCTAGCACTATAAAACCAGCTTAAGTCTGGGCTAGTACAAGTAGCTGTACATACACAAACACACATGCACGTCGTCATATGAGCGAAAATATTCTCAAGCACGACGTTAAACCCAATTTCGCCTCACCTCACCTCACCATGTCACTTTCAGCACTGTTCATGTATTTAGTACTCTCTTCAGTTTCAGACAGCATGTTGACAGTGGCAAGGTGTGTCATTATTTTATCATTGAATGTTGACAGGCGACAGAGGATCCCAACGCCTGGAAGAAGGCCACCTCCATCTATGAGTTTACAGCCCAAGACATTGAAGGCAATGAAGTTTCCCTGGACAAATACAGGTAAATATATGACAATCAGATAACAGGAGATGCTGATACTGGTCCTGGCCATGATGTTTCTGAGCTATGCATTACCTCTGTGCAGGATGTGCTCTGTACAACATGTGCTCTGGACAAGATGTGCTCTGTGCAAGATGTGCTCTGTACAACATGTGCTCTGTACAACATGTGCTCTGTACAAGATGGGTGTTTATCAGTCTTCATAACACATGACCAATTTATCATATTGGAATGCAGGTATTACAATAAACTCAAAGAAATGAAATTATATACTTGTTGTCTATATATGAATATGAACATGATCAATGAAAATAAGGAACTAAATATGATCTTGTACAAATCATGCTATGTGTTAATTACTTAAATACTTGTTTACAGGGGTGGTTCTAGTTTCTGTTCAGGTCTCAGTGGATATCTTGCTTTTACTTCAGCCTCCAGTTTCTATATGTTAAGGGTCAGAATTTCATGCAATGTCGCTAACATCTAGTTAAGAACGCGTGATTACAATGTTTCTTGTCTGTGGGAACACACCCTGCTTTGTAAAAGCCTCTTTCATTGTATATGTGCATATCTTGTTTCACCTTTTGTATTGCAATAATGGGTATGAGGAATGTCAGCCACACAACCATAGATAAGCTGTTGCAATGGTGTCAACCTGCCACATGTTTGAAACAGATGGGTCATAACTATATGTATTTTTGAGGACTAATAATAAACTAATAACTAAACATTCCGTCATGCTGTATTGTGACAATATATGTTGAATATTGATTATAGTTTAATTCCTGTTAGGCCTTACAACATGTGTACAGGGTCTGTCAATTGTTGCACTGAATCCAATATCACGTTTGCTGTTTCATACTGAACACATGTTAAATGGTCAAATATAGTATACCTATTCACACAGAAGAAAAATTTGTAAGTGACTTTAGTGTTATCTAAAAGCCAACAAACATCTGCTCTAATCCCACAAACTGTACATGTGCATATCATATTATAATCCCAGCCCAGGCAGAGATTTGGCTGTGACGTCATAGTGGAGAGGCGTCTGCCATTTCCCTTTGTTTACAGTGCAATCATCTACATGATGATGAAGTAATTTTTCCGTTATCCTTGTTGTGTAGCAGATCCTAGATGTGATGTTGTATTGCATGGGGGGTGCAGTTCATCAAATAAGGTACAAAGTGTCATATCTTGAGACATCCCATCCTCGATAATCTCCAGGGTATACGTTCTGATAAATCTTTGCCCTGGATTCATCTATGACTCGGCCCGATAATTTTATTACCTCCCTTTGCTGGCTCCGCATTCTCACAGTAGCCAATCAGCTAAGCCGCCGTTACAACTAAGCTTGCCAGTGTCAACAAAGACAGCGGTCGCACTCAGATTTTTGGGGAAAACATACAGACAAATTGACAGGTCTGAAACCTTAATAAATATATGCAAGAACTCTTTCTACCTCCTTCAGAGTATCTATTCAACAATTTTGTTTCCAAGTTTTATCGGTTAGATAAAAGAAGCGAAAGTGAATTGTGATTGGTACGCTCAACTTCCCAGCGTAGACACCTGATTGGATAAAAAGCCAGCCAAGGGAGGTACTAAAATCATGGGGCCGAGCCGTAGATGCATCCAGGGTATAGTGGAGATTTATCGGAATGTATACCCTGGAGATTATCGAGGATGGAGACATCCAAGCTAAAGGACCAATTTACTGTGGAGGAAATTTTGCATACAGCAGTGTCTTGTATTCCTTGCATTTTGAGAGATCCAGACAAACTGGAGAAACGTGGTTATGAAAATGTGAGAGCAAAATTGAAGAAAGATGGCTTGTCAAATAAGTCTGAAAAGAAGTAACTTAACTAACATGATTTAATGATGGGAAAGCCTTTCTGATTATATTCACAACATATGCAGGGAACTTTTCTGCAATGTTTAGGAAATCTATGGCAAACTAGTCTTGAGAATCTTGTGTGAATACGGTACGGTATATATACATCTGTGCATAAAATACGCACCACCCTGTATTTTTACCAATTAATTTTGTCTGAAATAAAAATTTGAAACTCTTTCCAAAAAATAACCTTTATAATTTGATAGAGCAAGCATTTAACATTTCAAAAACGAACATCATTGAAATTACCATGTACTCTAATTAGGAAAATTGCCTATATTAGGTCTATTTCTGTCCTAAAACAAGTTACCTTATTTTGAAAAGTGAAAGTAATAATTGATTGTTGTGTGGCCTATAAATTCGTTATTTATTGTGAATGGATGAAAGTTTGTAAACTAAGATTGAGGAAAAGTTACAGTCAAACTAAAAAAAAGGAAAATTTTAAAGTGTAGTAAAAGTTGTTTTACAAACAAAACAAACAGGTTTTAGCTGTAAATATCAGTATCCGTCATCTTGGTATATAACAGAATTGTTATTTTTAGTCAAAACTTAATTTAATTGTGTAGTTTGAGCAGGAGAGGAATAGTTATTTGGGGTAAAACTTCAGTCCCATCACATTTTCATCAACGTATTCTTTCATAAAGAATAGGGGCGGTGGGGTAGCCTAGTGGTCAAAGCGTTGGCTCGTCACGCCGAAGACCCGGGTTCGAATCCCCACATGGGTACAATGTGTGAAGCCCATTTCTGGTGTCCCCCGCCGTGATATTGCTGGAATATTGCTAAAAGCGGCATAAAACCAAACTCAGTCAGTCAGTCAGTCAGTCAGTCATAAAGAATAGAAAAGGTTATAGTATTTGTAAAACTGTCAGTGGATAAAGCTTTTTTAACTACAGGTTGATCAAATTGATGGCTATACCCCAACTTTTCTGTAGCATCACATCTTATTTTCAAAATTGGGTGGTGCTTAATTAATGCATGGGTGTATATAAGCCCTAAAATCAATGAATTTTTCATTTAGATATTCATACATAAATGTTTAATACTCATGACCATGTACATTACACACACCTTTTTTAAAATAAAGTCAGCCTATCTCCTATAAATAGAGAAGTGTTAGACATCGATAATGAAAATATATTGTAAAGGTTTTTGCCCCCTGAACTGCTTTTTATAAATAAATGACAAATTGCAAAATTGTCCGTTTAACAGGATAAACATGTGTGTGATGCACTGGATATGTATTTATTGTCAACCATTCATGGTCAGTCGGACCTGTGATGGACAGTTGGATCCGTGAAGATCTGGGTTAGAATTGGTCTTCAGTAACCTATGCTTGTCGTAAGAGGTGACTTACACGATCTGATGGTCAGTCTTGCTAACTTGTCATCATATCCCAATTGTGTAGATTGATGCTCATGATGTTAATCACAGGAGTGTCTGGTCCAGACTCCATTATATATAGACCGCCACAATATAACTGGAACAGTGCTGAGTGCGGCGTTAAACAGCAAACAAACAGGAAGATTTTCCAAATGGGTTGTTGTGTGACAAAAAGCAGTTATAGCGATAGATATTAATAATAAATTAGTGTGATGGGTATATTATAGTGTATATTATAAGTTTTATTTCAATTACTTGTGTTGAAATACATTATCTGTTTATTTATGTCTTCATTTGTGTTTGTTAGTGTGTGTTTCTCTATGTGACAGTCAATGATATAGTGCAGGATGTTTGGGTCAAGACTAATTAGTGTTTATTGTAAGCTAAATACTGGGCACTAAGGGACCATTATTAATGGCTACCGGGGGTGATGATGATTTTTAAGGGGGGTCACCCATTTTGTTCTGGGATCTAGGGGGGTCATCAATTTTGTACACATGTTCTAAGGGGTCATCAATTTTGTACATATACATATTAAAAAGTCATGGTTATGAAATTAAGGGAGGGGGGAATTTGATTTTGTACATGACATGGGGGGGCACTTACATTGTACATAAATTTCAGGGGGGGTCATTCACATTGTACATGCTTCTCCATTAAGATTATCATCACCCACCCCACTCCAATGTCTAGTTTAAAGTAGACACTCCTAGATCTACTATTTATTAGCATTTGTGTGTATGTTTATGTATAAATGTATAAACATGTGCTCATTTGTGAATTAATTTCTATGTAGGTATAGGTACACATACCCCACAGTCACGCTGAACACATAAAATATACCTGCGTGAAGAAGACTCGCCATTGTTTCATGATTTGAATGGGAGATAATTTTAGTTGGAAGTTAGTAAACAATAGCATAATATAAGATCGCCATCGTTTCATAAATTGGATAGGAGATAATTGTAGTTTGAAGTTAATAAAGAATAGCATTATATGAGATCTAGTCTAAATAAATAAAACATTCTACCAAAATTGCAAAGAAATGTTTGTTTATTTTCCAGGGGCAACCTTGTCATCATCGTGAATGTGGCATGCAAGTGAGGATTTACTCAGAAGCACTACACTCAGCTACAAAAATTGTACGCCGATTATGCTGAGTCACAGGGCTTGAGGATCCTTGCTTTTCCATGCAACCAGTTTGGGGGGCAGGTCAGTGTAGAGGCAATGTGCTATTCTTCATGGAATGGTGCCTGAAATAGGCTGAATTGGAAGTCAAAGCAACATTTTTCAATTGTGTTTTTAGAGGTCAGAGTATGGACAAGACGATTTAATTGAAAAGTCGAAATGTATAAGTACGTTTGTTATGGCCTGAACATTATCATGTTACCTGCATCATGATACAGTGGCAAAGGTAGTTTTCATACTCTGGGTTGGTAACAGTCATAAGGAAACTGTATTTTGAATTAACATACCAGTGAATTTCTCTTTGAATTTGTTTTTGAAAAATGTAAATTAGGGACCTTTCATAGTTTATGTCTAGGGGAGGTGATGATAATTTTAAGGGAGGGTCATCCATTTTGTTCTGGGGAGGTAGGGGGGTCATACATTTTGTACACATGTACTTGGGGGGTCAGCAATTTTGTGCATAAAAGTATTTTAAAAATATGCTTAGAAATTAGGGGGGGGGGGCATTGATTTTCTACACGACATGCATGGGGGTTCACCTTCTTTGTACATAAACTTTAGGGGGGGATTCACATTGTACATGCTTCTCAATAAAAATCATCATCACCCTCCCTGTAGCCATAAATCATGAATGTTAATTGTTTTGGGTTAAAGTGTGAAAATCTATCAGTTACTATTTACTGAAATTTATATTTATAAGAAGGCCAAACCCTGATTGCTTGTGTACAACATACAAATCATTGCGTTTAGTGTGCTTCAAAACAGGGATGGTGGTGTCATTGTTAAGGCTGTGATACACTGGGTCTTGATGCAGTGGTTTTAGCAACATTATCTTAGACAAATGTCAAGAAAAATGTGATAATATGGAAACTTGTTTTTCAATCTGCAATATAATTTATAATTACTAATTTACGTGCTGAAAGAGTTTGAAGAATGAATGATGTTGGGTGATAAATAAAATCTCACCTTTGTAGCCTATTCTCTATGTTAGGAACAAGAATGAGAAAACCTCTAGGATAGACATGCTTGATTAGAAAACCCCAACTCTTTGATGTGTCGTTTATCATTTTTGTAATACACAGGAATGTTTTTGCCATGTTTGTGCAGGGATGTTGGTCTGAGGGAGAACTGAGTGGTTGTTATATATCTTGGGGTTACATGTTTTGTAGGAACCGTGGCCGAACGACCAAATCCTAAGGTTTGTGAAGAAGGAGTTCCAGGTTGGGTTCGACATGTTCAGCAAGATTGAAGTCAATGGAAACAATGCACATCCACTTTTTAAGTTCCTTAAGGAGAAACAGAAAGGTTTATTTGGAAAGTAAGTGGTGTCATTATGAATGGTTGAAGACTTGAGTGTAGTTTTGATAAGGTTTATATTATTTTATGTAACCTTTAGTATATTTAGTGCAGCAAATTTTTATTGATTGAAGTAATTCTTTCTGTGGCACATCTGAACTGATGAAATAATGCAATTTGTGTTTATCGTAGTATTGCAATGTTAGGCAAATTTTAATCTGAGAAATAATGCAATTTGTGTTTCTTGAAATATTGCAGTGTTTGGCACATCTTATTTGCAGTAGCGAGCGGAAGGTCGCGGGTTCGATCCCTGACCGCGTCATACCAATACCAATAGATGTTAAAATATGGTACTTGTTGGTCCCTGCCTGGTGCTCGGCATTAATGGGTACAACAAGGACTGGTCGGCTCGGGAGTCAGTAATATGTGTCTGAGTGGGGTATTCATGCTTCACTGCGGCATGGTATCTCAGTGGGCTAGCACTATAAAACCAGCTTCAGTCTCTGCTAGTACAAGCAGCCGCACATACACATACACACGCATGCACGTCGTCATATGAGCGAAATATTCTCAAGCATGACGTTAAACCCAATTTCACCTCACCTCACCTTAGTTGCAGAAGTTATGCAATTTATGATTATGGCAGTGATGTACGTTACGGTTAGTTGTATACATTTGTATGATGCAGATTTGACTGATTTCAGAATCTTATTGTCAGTATGGCCCTATTGACGGTTGCATTCATATTCTTGGATAACTTTTGTAGTGTGTATGTAAATTCCATTTATATTGTTTTCAGTTCTATCTGTACAGACTCAAAATGTAGCATGGAAATGCTTACTCCCATGTATTTCTTGTTTTCAGTTTTATCAAGTGGAACTTTACAAAATTCATCATTGATCGTGAAGGAAAACCTGTCAAAAGATTTGCCCCAAATACAGAACCATTGGTAGGTGTCATGTAGTCGGAAGGTGTCACAATGTTAGTTCATGTAGAGTTCATGTCAGTGAATTGTTAGACAGGAAACATTTATGACATTTGATAAATGGCCTACGCAGATTTCTAAATGGAATACTTAACTAAGCTGATAGTTATAAGTGAAGACGTTTATGGTAATACTAGTAATTCACGAGTGATAGAATGTCGTAATATGATTAGTGATGACAGGGACATGAATATATCAGTAAAAACACATTTATCTACCAAGTCATCATTTATTTGAGATATGTTGTGTTATGGAAGACTGACTGACTGACTGAGTTTAGTTTTACGCTGCTTTTAGCAATATTCCAGCAATATCACGGCAGGGGACACCAGAAATGGGCTTAACACATTGTGCCCATGTGGGGAATCGAACCCGGGTCTTCGGCGTGACGAGCCAACGCTTTAACCACTAGGCTACCCCACCGCCCCTGTTATGGAAGAAGTGAATGTAATATATTCACATAATTAAACCACGTTATTCAATCAGCTAGTTTGATTGACCATTTTAACAAATGTGAAGCTATTGATGAATGTCTGAAGGGTTTTTTACTCAAATTTTAGTAACTTTATAAAATATCATGTACTGTCTCCAAATAGAGTGAGTGAGTGAGTTTACTTTTACGCTGCACTTAGCAATATAGCAGCTATATGGCAGCAGCCTGTAAATAATTGAATCTGGACCAGTGATCAACAGCACGAGCATCGATCTGCGCAATTGGGAACCGATGACATATGTCAACCAAGTCAGCGAGCCTGACCAACCCGATCCAGTTAGTTGCCTCTTACACCAAGCATGGGTTACTGAAGGCACATTCTAACCCGGACCTTCATGGGTGACCAAATAGTTAGAAGTTATAGAACTATACCCAAAAATATACCATGGTTTAATTGTGAAGGAAAAGAACATTGTATGGAAAATAAGGAAAATATGGTAAGCAGTACAAAATATTATGGAAAGGAAATGTTTTTATTTAAATTTAGATGATTTCATTTTGAATTATACTTTCAAACCAAATCTTCTTCATATAAAGTTTTGCGATATGTAGTGAAATTAAGGGTAAGACTCTGCTTGTTACCCTTCAGTGCAGGTATAGTGCCGATAAAAAACAAATATATACTCAGGATCAGATAAAGCTAGTCAGTTAAACTTGTATTTTCCATCCACAAGAGATGCTAATGAAACTAAGGGGAGACTACTGATTATGAAAAAGCATACAGATGAAACGTTTTCCATATTGAGAATAAACAAATTTGAAATAAGTGATGTAATAAATTCTCTCCCTTTGAATAAAGCTTTGGGCCTGATTCCATGTGCCATAAAATTCTAAAACATACTGTAGCGTCTTTAATTATATGTACTTATATTATTATTATTAAATTTAATGATTTTATATATTTATTATTATTATCTCATTGAGAACTTGTACTTACCCAAGCTAATGAAATATAACTGATGTAATCATTATAATGCCACTTTAAAAAAAACTGCTGACCCCATACTATACATAGGACACAGATCAACATGTTTGATTAGCTTGCACAATTATTTTCATGAGAATTCATTGTTGTACAAAGACCTGTCAGGATTTGAAGCTGGTCATTCCACCATTCACCAACTGATGTAATCATAATGATGATAATAATAACAATGGCCAAAGCACTTGTTTCCACACACTTGTGCATGCTCAAAGCGCTGACACATTATTACCCCGGATAACCCAAGCTGTTAAGCGCTAGAAGGTTTTAGTCACCTGGTACCCATTTTCTGCTGGGTGAACAGAGGCAATATTGAACAAACTCACTTGTCTAAGGTGAGACCACATGCATCACATATGCTTCGTTGTGGGGAAGGACTGAAGTCCGAGAAACTCACAGGAGTCAAGCTGCCAAACATGGTCACCCATCCAAGGACTCTGCACGCCCAATGTTGTGACTGAGCTCGATGCACAGGACCACAAACTTCAATGGTATTTGTGTCGTTCAGAGTGCATCCCAGCAGCTCTGGATCAGTTACCCTTGTTTGTTTAGATGTCTTCCTTTCAGCTTCAAACCAAAATTGTTTTCATTTATTATTTTCATGATGTATATTTTCAGTCTATGTTGAAAGACCTTGAACCCTACTTCAACAAGTAACCTCCCATGATTGTTGCCCTCCACGTCTACCATGTAATGCTGCAGCAAAGTCATCATCCAGATCTTGTGTCTGTCTAGACCCAGCTTCAGCGTCAGTCAGAATGAATGAAGGTTGATCCCTAAACCTTGAAGGGGATTGACTGGAGATGGTTTGCTGGCGTACAAACCACTCTGACTGGACACTGGTCAGTGCTGGACCTAGCTGGACATAACCATGGGTAGTGACTAGTTGTATGTGTAATAGTATATGATATTTATCTGCAAGTGTATTTATATACCAGATGTGTATATTACTGTTTATGAGTGTGTATGAGGTGAATTTAAAGAAAGGTTGTTTCAAAATTTCAGGAACTATTGGCAATTGGGAGTTTGGTTGATTCTGTCCAGTTTGTTTGTTAGGATGCAGTATTTTATATTTTGCATTGAACGTGTTGAATCAGTTTTATGTTGTTCATGTGGTTTTAAATCTACTTGGTCTTTGTATAAAAACCATAAGTGCTGCCAGTTAAGTTTACTTCAAAAGATCACACTACTATATAATTTGAGAAATACTGAAAATCATTGGTTAAGTTCCAATTAAAATCATATCTTTTTATTTTGATGCAATTTTTAAATTTGAAAGAGCTGTGACAGATAAAATATATTTTTCAATTCATGAACTAAAACATTAGATCTTCACTCGTTATTTGTACATTTTATTCAGATATTAATCAGTTCCAGTCCTTAGTGAAAGTACCGGTATATGTTCGAGATACTCAAGTTCATCTTTATCAAATAACATTTGTGTTTGTATTTATACTTAAAAAATGATTAATTCTTGGTGTTTTGCCTGCATATCTAATTACATTTAAGTTTGTTTATTTATGCATATACTTAAGAGTTGTGTTCCCAGTTATGATTCCAGCATGATTATGTAAATGTTGTTTAAGTTTGTCAAGGCTTTTTAACCTTTTATGTTTTTTAGTGCTGTATGTTCTGTATTCATAACTCTTATACAGTCCCAATGTGCCAGTTTCTAACCTTATCTTCACAGCCTGGTGTAAGTCCAACATCTATGACTGGTCCAAGTCGGTCCAAAGTGAATCAGTAGTTGGTGCTATTATTCAGATGACATATGCTTTAACAGCCAGTGAAATATACTTTATTGTATTATCTTTCTATGAATAAAAGTTATAAATATCTAAATTTTAAACATTAAATATTTGTCATTTTGATGATTCTTGCCCATGTTCTCGATGCCTGTTCTTGAACTGAGAACTGGATTATCCTTAGGTCGGTGTCCTGTTCTGTTTGTCCAAACAGAAAAAAACAAGAGGGCTTTGATTTTACTTTAATACAATGTCATTCAAAGTGCCAAGTTTAGTTTGCCAGAAGTTATAAATTTAATGCTGAAGACCTTGAGGAATGCCAAGCCAATTCCTGGTGTTCCTTTCCATCTTGTTCCAGGATTGTTTCTTAGGCAGGTAAACATTTTATTCACTTGACAGTTAAAAGATGATTTTTGAATTCAAGTTATCGTGGTTATGGAGAATATGGTTTATGTAAATTGAAGGTATCAAAATCACATGCTGTGTTATAAGAGGTATGCTATATTTACAAAAAATGGCAACCTCCCCACGCGACTTGCTGTTCCCCAAACCTCACTTGTTTTCTTTTTACTTGGGTTTATTAAGCACTCTTTCTTTCAAATTCTTGGATCAACCTCTAGTAAAATATGTTACATTCCATTCCACAAGAAGGAAAATACTTCTAGGAAATAGCTGAAGAACTTCAATGGTCACGATAGTGAATATTTGCAATGTCAATCAGCAACAAGCAATGTTTCATTCCAGCAATCGATATTAATTACAGCATTACCTCCTGTTCGAATCACTAAGTGGAGTATAAGTGAAATATATCTCCTATCATTGTATGTAACATGTTGTTGTTGGTTGAGTCCAAGGTGGTTGTTGAACTGTGAAGTTGTGCCAGTTTTTCTTGATGGATCATTGCTCATATATCATGAAAAAGTGAAACGTGAAGAGTAGAACTGGAAAATGGCATTTTTTGTTTAAGATAGACTACTTCAAATTAATAATTTCTTTTGATATATTTTCTCAGATGAATATATCAAGTTGCAGAATTAATGGGTTTATATGGAAAGGTGTTTATTTTTGGATGTTTAATGTATTGTTAATATCTCATTAGTTCATGTTTACTTTAGATTTGTTTCTTTTACTGATTTTCTCATATCTGTGACTTTGTAGTCCATTTTAGAGTTATTCTGTAAGTAAATGTTTGTTGAAACAAAACAAAACAACATTTTGAGAAAGCAAATAATCACTTGGTTATGTCAGGAGGATTGATTTAGATTGTTGTATTTGTTTATATCAATGAGACTGTGTAATCCGAATGCTCTTAAAACTATTTCCAAGACAGTGATTGGGAACCTCCGTGTCCATGTAATATCAGGAGATAATTTTACTTGCTGTTTCATAGCCTGTTGATTATTTGTTAATGATGAACACAATCCTGTTTTTGATACGGATTCATCTGTTTTACTTCTGGTACCAAGTAAGAAAAGTTTAGTGGATATATATATCCATATAGGAAAGCTTCTCTTGCATTTTATCTGTTAGAAGTATTACATGATATATCCATCCTTTGATCCAAGGTTTCCAAACTCTAGATACGGTAAGAACTGATACAATTTGTTGTGTAAAACATTTTTAGGTAAAGGGAATAAGACACCTTATGACTTGTCATTTAGCAAAACAGTTTCGTAAAGATTATTTCACCCCAAATATAATTATAAATGATATTATTATTTAAACAGGGTCTTGTCATTGTATATTTTGTATTGATACAAACCATTGTTTGTTTCCAGCATGGTTTCTAAAAATAATTGCCATATCTGAAGCCATATAACTTATACAAAACAGGCCTCTAGTTGTGCCATAAGTCGGGTAGGAACCATCAGAGTTTCGGGAAACATTGGTGTCTCAGTATAAACATGTTATCATGTATTGATTTGCTGTAAATCTTTACAGAATTAAGCCTTGATCTCTTGTTTAACCCGTCTATATAATTTAATTTTTGGTGTACTCCATGTATTTTGACAAACAATAATCTATGTATTTTATATGTCTGTCTTGTTTTCTCATTTCTGCAAGTTTTCTTCAACCAGATGAAATAAATTGTCAATTGTTAATTTTCTGTATCAATATCTGTTGTATTTGCTGAAGTGCCTTTTCTTCCTATTTGAGTAAGTGGTCATATATCTTTAATTTTGGTCAAAATGTTTCCAAAGTGTTATGTTTCTTTGGATCCAAGGCGGCATTAAGACACTAGTTTCATCCATATTGTTTAACACTGTGAGCTAGATTCCCATTGAATTATTCCCCAGGTTTGAAAAGCAGAGGACATGCTTATTAGTAGGTCGGTGGGTCTGATGTTTTTCTGTTTGCGGAGCAGAACTCCACAATCATTGAATATATCTTGATGAAGTTTGCTAGACTTATCAGTCTAGTGGTTAGCTGGTTCCTTTTGATGTTTGGAATATTGAAACACTTGTGTTTTATATATTTTATTGAAGAATAACCCAAAAGTGTGTGCACATCATCGATGGTGGGGGTGGGGGTAGCCTAATGGTTAAAGCATCCGCTCATCACACTGAAGACCTGGATTGTTTTCCCATAGTGTGTGAAGCCCCTTCCTGGTGTCCCCTGCCGTGTCCCCTGCAATATTGCTAATGCAGCGTGAAGCCATACTCACTCACACTTATCGATGGTGGATCATAGGAAGCTTGAATGCATGGTGCATGTGGGACATTGTACTTGAGTATGGTGTTCTGGTATTTCATAAAGTAAACAAACAAGAGTGAGTGAGTGAGTTCAAGACAAGACAATCCAATGATCAACAGCATGAGCAATCAATCTAGGCAATTGGGATACGATGACATGTGTCAACCAAGTCAGCGAGCCTGACCACCTGATCCCATTAGTCGCCTCTTATGACAAGCATGGGTTACTGAAGATCAATTCTAACCCAAATCTTCACGGGTCTAAACAGACAAGAGAATTTAGTGAATTTCTGTTATCCATAGGAACATGAGAACAATAAATTAGGTTGGAAGGGATGAAAATGGACTAATTAATTGATCATGTCTTTAGGAACTGAGTTTTGGTAACACAACCTTGAATGAGGCAACTCCGAAGGTCTCCGGAATTACCAATACTCACCAGAGTCTGCAAATTCTGTGTGATTTTAACTAAGATCAGTATGTAACTGTACATGATTTTTGAAAATAAGTCAACCGAGAGGTGAAGGTGAAGCTTTAGGTCTTTTTCTATAATTGAAGTCTTCAGGAAGGTGAGGTGAAAAAGAGTTTAACATCGTACTCGAGAATATTTTGCTCATATGACGACGTGCATGCATGTGTATGTGTGGCTGCTTGTGCTAGCCGAGACTGAAGCTGGTTTTATAGTGCTAGCTCACTGAGATACCATGCCGCAGTTAAGCATGAATAGCCTCTCGGACACATTATACTGACTCCGAGATGACCAGTCCTTGTTGTACCCATTAATGCTGAGTGCCAGGCAGGGACCAACAAGTACCATATTTTAGCGTCTTTTGGTATGACACAGCTGGGGATCGAACCCACGACCTTCCTCTCTCCGGGTGGACGCTCTAACCACTACACCACGGAGGCAGCTTAGTTTTCATGAAATCCAACTGTGCAGGTTACTTTGAAGTTCAAGTTGAATACGTGGTGTATTCCCAAACATTTCAAATTAAGTCAAATTCTGATCTTGTTAATGGGATAACTGATTTTCAGTTAAGGCTGAATGAAAATATTAAATATAAAATCTAACTATTAGTAGTGTTTAAACCATTTTCAGGATATAAGTGGAGTCTTTATAAATGAACATAATTGTGATTTGAAAATGTGTTTATTTAAGATGTCGTTGTATGTGAACTTAAGCATTGTAGGGAATGGACACATATGGAATTTCTTGAACTTCTGTCAGATCTGTCCAACTCCAACATGCTCACTGTAATCTTATGACTCATCTCTTCTTCGAGACAGCAATTTTACAGACACTAACTTCTTTGAGAACAAGGAGCTGTTGGTTGGACGAGTGGTATAGGTGCTTGTCATGCCAAAGTTTGATTCCCTCCATGGGTACAATGATGGTAGTAGCTATTTCTGGAGTTCATACAAGGATAATGCTGGATTTCATCCAACACATTCACTGTTCGAAAGAAGGTGCCCACAATGTTCTGTTGGTGTTCATTAGAGATGTTTAGGAATGGCTCGTACAATGATTTGATACTGTGGCATTTTCACCTCCTTTCCCCTACTCTACCAGACAAAAGGTGTTTATCATATAAATATCATTTTTTAACTCATTCATCCAGTGAGGCTGAAGGCTTTTATACTTCTTGGTCTTTATTTTATAAAATACATGGGTCATGAAAAGTGATAACTGATGCACAGCTTCAATTGTCTGTATCCAGAACGACTACAGTCTATCAGTTGAATCATCATCACATCTACTGCATCTATGTGATTCCCCTTCCACTCTCCAGGAGGTAGATTTGTTGTATATCACCCTAGTCTTTGAGGATACAGCTTCAGATATAGCTTCATTGTCTGTCATCCATTTCTGCTACTCATCTGTACATTTAGGTACACAGCTCACTTTCTAATAATTTCTTATCACTGTCTGCGTGATTGATTTCTGCTCTTTTCTTGGATATGTTGTCTCAAAAATAGTATTTGATATCACTGTGCTGGCTTGAGCTATGACATGTCCTCAGTTACACCAGCATGGCAGATTAACTTTAGGTGTCTTCAATACCTGTGTAGTAGTACAGTACAACCAGAAATTATTGAGAATTTAAAGATTGTAAATTTTTAATTTTTTTCACTCATTACTCACGTATTAAATGTGAATATTAGCAGAACATAACTCCAGATTCAAAGACAGGTGAACAGTTAGTATTTTGTCAAGTCACCATGGGCAGCAATGCAGGCTTCAATGCGGCGGGGCATACTACTATCAAAGAAGTTAGAATGTCATGGTCAATGCAGTCCCACCTCTTCTTTCATTTCAGCAATATTTGTCAGATTTTTCTTATTGACACTTTCCTTCATAAGACCCCAAACATTTTCTATTGGATTTAGGTCAGGGCTATAGCTTGGCCAATCTAATAATGTCATATTTTGGATCCGAAACCAGGCCTGTGAATGCTTGGAACGATGTTTTGGGTCTTTGTCCTGCTGGAAAATCCAAAAATGTCCATAGAACACGTGAGCAGATGGAAGTAAATGTCCCTCGAGAATATCTGTGTACCACTCACTGTTCATATTCCCTTCAAATACACAGAGGGGCGTTGCCCCTTACACAGATATGCCACCCCACACGTTTAATTTCAGACTGTACTTTGGGCGCTGATACAAAGGTTTTTCAGTTTGTTTGGTCCAGAATTTCAGTGTATTAGGAAACATCCACACAGAACTTTCATCTGAGAAAATCACATTGTCCCAGTTAAAATTTCTATGCTGTAAGCACCAGTTCAACCTTGGCTCCTTTTGTTCAGGTTTCATGATCGGTGATGGAATTGCTCGACTTTTCTGCCAACCCATTGCATGCAGCTCAGTTCTAATTGTCTCCTTACAGACAGCCACAGTTCCTCTATCAATCGTATCCAGCCTTAAGTTTTCTAAACCGCTTCGTTTGTTTTTAGAAACAAGAATACCAAGCGGCCTCCTGTCACCGACAGTCAATTTTCTGGGCCTACCTGCGCCTCCCTGGTGCTCAATGCCATATCCATTTGCAATATTTTTCAAAACACGATAAACAGTGGACAAATGGATGCCTGTTCTACTTGAAATCACTTTAGCTGATCTGATGTCCTTGTTATAATACTCTATAAAATCAAATTCCTCTTCTCTAAATCATCCATACTGAGGATCACTGAAAATGTCGTCTGCTAGCAAGTAAACAAAGGGGGATAACTCTTCACAAACTAATGAAAAAGGATTAACGGAGTTGTCTCTCTTGAATGAAACCAAGCACTTGATAGCTGGTCAAGGTTGTTTATACTAGAAATCCAATTAAACATATTCCTAAAATTCTCAATAATTTCTGGTCATACTATATATGTGTAGACCACTATTAACCAGACAACCTTCAGGGCTAAATCTTCTTGCCGTCTGCTGGCTCATCATCCCCATCTTGATAACTCTCATTCTGTCTCTCACTCAGTGAGGCAGTGTTGACTACTCATCTGTCTCCCCATCCATCCTTGTCACCGAGACACCCCTTGTCTCGGAGAATGTTCGACTTAAAGACACATTGTCTGCCAGGCTTGCTGCGCTCTGCCAACTCCGGAAACAGATCATTCCCTTGTCTTGAACGTCCTTGCGTCCTCTCATTGTGATGACCTCCCCGTCTGGCCGCAACACAACAAGCTTGGGGATAGCATTGATGTTGAACTTGTTGGCAAGCTGCCTGCAAATAATTAAATGATTAAAGATAATTGCAAACTATTTAGACAAAATAATTATGTTTTCACTTTTTCTTTGATTTTCCTGTGCTTCTGCAGTTTGGCTCAGTGAGATTGGTTTAATGCTGCTGTGTCCACTCTTCCAGCTTTATCGCAGTGTGTTACCTAAGTGTGGGAGGAAAACCCAAGGTGATGAAGCCCTTGATGTTTACCATCTAAGTGAGAACCATGTATGTGTGTGACGTGCTGACAAATCCAAGAAACTTGATCAAGTTGAACCATGATTCAAACCAGTGATCATCGAGCATGATGTGTATCACTGTGGTGAAACCCACATGCAAGGGTATGGTGCTGATGAACCTAAAAAAACCATGATCACAGTTTTTGGGAATAGCTCAAGGACTGCAACTATGCCCCAAGGAATGCAACTCTGCAGAGGAAGCTGTAGTGCCTTTGATGACTGGGCCCCTGTATCCCCGACTTGAGACAATAACGCAGAGTAGTGATGCTCTTACGCATGTTGCAAAAGACGCATTGACTCTGGACATAATCCACAATCAGCACTGACCCTTGGGTACCTTTTTTATTCAAGTCATTGTATCCAATTGCATATATATTGATGCGCATGAAGTCAATCACTGGATTGTCTCAAGTATATACACTGCCATCATGCTGGACTATTGCTGTGTTCAACAACAAACAATAACCAATTTCTATATACAAAGTATATACACAAAGTATATAAAAACATAACCTACTCTCTTAGGGGGTCGTCATAGGGCACTGCAAGCCAGTCACCGTGACAGTTTAAGAAGTATTCTTTCATCATCTCCTTGGTTCTGTCAAAGCTGATGAAGATAACTTGAAGAGGGGCATTCCTGTTCCTGAGATCCTCGTACATCTGCTTGAGGAGGGGTGTAAACTTCTGACATGGGGGGCACCAGGAAGCGGAGAAGTAGACAGCGGTCACTCTCTCCTTTGTCACCTCTTCTCCACTGACCAGGGCATAACTGGCCCGGTCAGGAACATACTTATCAGTATTGAAGTGTTCTTTTGTCAACAGCCAGCAGTCTTTGAAAGGGTTTGGAGGAGGTTGTGGTGTTGATTCAGGTTTGTCAGACTCCATTGCCTTCACTGAGGAACAGAAACACTGGTGGTTGTATTGCATATAAAATTTCAAACCGATCAATTTTCATTTTTAAGGAATGAACCCATCTGCTTTTGAATTAAATTAAAATTGTATTGAAGGGGTTTTTTTTAATATATTTTTTCTTCTTTGACAAATTACTGTTTTGTTACACATGAGTATATGATATAAAAGCACAGCTGATTAAGCTTCAAATACAATGGTTACTTAGTGCTGCATTCAGCAATATTCCAGCTATTTGGCGGCAGTCTGTAAATAGTGGAGGGCGGTGGGGTAGCCTGGTGGTTAAAGCGTTCGCTCGTCATGCTGAAAACCCGGGTTCGATTCCCCACATGGGTACTATGTGTGAAGCTTATTTCTGGTGTCCCCTGCCGAGATTTTACTGGAATATTGCTAAAAGCGGTGTAAAACTAAACTCACTCACTCACTCACTCACTGTAAATAGTGGAGACAATCCACCATCAATCTACGCAATTGGGATACGATGACATGTGTCAGCCAAGCCAATGAGCCTGACCACTGGATCCCGTTAGTTGCCTTTTACTACAAGCATAGGTTGCTGAAGACCAATTCTAATGCGGATCTTCACAGGTACTGTAAATATAATGAGATCTCTATTTGTGTATGTAGGAATGATAATGTCAACATTCTGAACTAAATGATTATTCACATGAGGAAGTTGATGCATGCAAAAGTCGGGACCATATTTATATTCTAACACTTCCATGGGAGATATAATATAGAGCTGGATATTCTTGTTTAATTATCTCCATTTTGGATATATAGGTATTTTTTCAAATATTGATAGCTTGTCTCATTGTTTTTCTAATAATTTGTCGACATAAATATTATCCGCCAACCTACGAAAACAGGATCATTCATAAAAGATAATATTTCTAACAAATGTGAAAATTGCCTGCATTTATGTTCATACTAATTTGGTTTGTTTCAAATTACAATATATAAAAAATACAACACACGTATCTGTTGAGACCCTCACTCGCACATCCCGCAGCCTTCGCGATAGAAATCATCCGCTAAGGAAGTAATGAAATACTTCAACATCTAATACAACATCTATTTGAGAGGCTAAGCAGTGTACTATGTATCCGATCCCTTTAGATACTAGTTAACAAATGATGGTGATACTGTGATCCAGGGTCAACGCTAACATCATGTAATCCTCAAAATGTTAAGTGATAATTCTCTAAACAGTAACTAAAATGGTCGTATTTATTTCAAAGACAAGGTTATTGTAAGTATGTGGATTTCAGCCCTACAACTACACGCACACACAAGGAAAAAGCGTAAAGTCAATGCAAGAAAATATTGATAATATTTACCTTAGCAACAATGCTTCTTATCACAACATTGGAGTTATGTCCCTTGTGAGGGAAACAACGTATGGGTTTATAAGAATCGCCGCATCTTTGATCCAGAACAACCCTGGATTTATTACATTTATTGACATTTCCATGTAGATTCTTAATCTTGTCAAGCTAAATGAAAGTGAAGTGATTATTCATAAAGTTGTGTGTGTTTTTTCTTTACCCACTTCTAGAAGGAAATTTAAAACAGATACACTTATAAATACGTCATACCTGAATGGCAACGGGGCCACTAATATTTCGAGGTACATCATAACATCTTATTTTTGAAAATTACTTTAAATAAAAACTTAAGCCGATAGCTAAATTTATAATGTGGTTAAATCACTCTTACGCAGCGCCATCCAGAGTACGAACAGTTAATAGGAGTGTATAAGGAGACAAGTGCTGAGAACATGACTCAATCTTATTTCCTTTCTAAATCGTGGTATGTGTGATAATTTCTTTTCAATGAGAACTTTTGCATACGTGAATCATTAACGGTGACAATCACCATGAAAGTGATTCCCGGTCAATTTTCTTTTACGTCAACTCGGCATGAGGCAATTAGAGACTGGTGTCTCGCTGTTCCGGGCACGGAAGAGGCATTGTTTTGAAGTATAATCATTCATGTTTTTTACCTGACGATTAAAGATTTCCCCTTATGAGCAGACCGTCACGAACCTATGAGCTAGAAGTTCCGACAGCCGACATGATTTTAATATGAAATCCACGTTCATGTTCACGGGGCACCAATGCATACAATCTTCAGCCCATGGGAGGCTTTTTAGATTCTTTTCGATAATTTAACATGAATAGATTTTTAAAAAATGTTCATGATGATAAGGTTTTACAATCACCTGAAGTATTGATTCTCGGGTTTGCTGTAAGTTTACATACTCCGTTATTCTCAAGACGTAGAATGTAACACAAACAGAATGGGTTGAAATATCTTGAGCCAAGCTAAGATTCAACAAAACTAGAAATAATGGTTGTCGAAATCATTACAACAGTCTCGCCTATGTCAAAATAGGTAGTAAGTTTGCTCTCATTATAGTGTACATTAGGCTGTCTTCTCGGTCGTTCTTCAGCAAAATTTAATTGTAAATCTGAATTAGAGTTTGAATTTACCACATAATATCAACATATATATAAATAATTTCAAATGACCCTGACAAAAAGTATTTCTCAATCCCTGTGTATCCTCTATATAGACAATATGTTTGACATAAATGCAAGGTCATTGTAAGCAGATTTCACTAATTATTTCACTTTATTGCTCTTTACAAAGTCATGATATATGCTACACAATTAGTCAAAACAGACACCAAATGTTTTTCTCTACTGTTGGCTGAGATTGGGGAGGAGATAGACGTACAACACGCACAATGAATGGACTTACCTGCGTAGTCATGACGTAAACAATGCGTGACGTCATAATATTATTTTTGACGTCACATAGCGGAAGTGTGACGAGACGGTTTCCATGTTGCAACGGGACGGTTTGGCTATCGGTTTCGCTCAGAATATCTATTCATGCAATGTCTTCGGGAATGAGACAGGATCGTTTTCAGAATTTTGAGCACGGTTCTGAGAGGGAAAGCGAACCAGATGGCATATGTGAATTTTCTTATGAGTCCTCTCTCGACAGCATCAGAGCTCGCATAAATGACATATGGCAAGATGATCCTTCGAAATATGATGTCCTTACACCAGCCTTATGCAACATTTGCCTTACGAGTGAACTTCTGCAGAAAAGATTTTCTTCAGTGACTTCCGCTGATATTTTAGCTGGTATTGCTGTAGGCGCTAAAACGGAAAGTCCACTAACTGAGAAAGGGGAAGCAGAATTCGCAAAAGAGAACGACTTTTTCGGCAGTGATGTGTAAGTTCAAAATACCGTCCTAAATGGAAATTTGTCAAATTGCTAAAAATGCCAGTGGCTACCCTGACCGTCTATAGGGTGACATTATAATGGCTTAAAACAAGTCATATTGATTATAAGTAATACATGCATAATTCAAGTAGAAGAATGAAACTTCCAACGGGTTGTACTTGTAGAATATTATTTTTCTTCATTCTTTGCCATGTCGTATTTTCTTATTTCAGATTTCGTTTACACCAGGAATGTACACATGGCATCAACGCAGACCATTCGGACAACATACAGCAGGTAGTACGGATAATTGTATCAATTTATCATATAACATCAATCGTATTGTTGAAAGCAATATGAGTCATGAAGGCTGCAGAAAACGAAATAGTTTTTGTATTTGGAGGGAAAAGTGTACGATCCAGATAAAATATGATTTGTAAATTAAACAGCTAAATTCCTCAGAAGATTCATACTGAGAACTACAGTTAGTTATTTTTGCTTCGGTCAGTTGTTTGAGTTATGACAGCGGTGTATACTAGTTTCAAAGAGGATCAGAATTGGTTTTGTTTCCATATTGTGTTTATTATTCAATTTGTGTTTCAACACATGGTCTCCATTTAAAACAGAAACTGAAAAAGGGACGAAAACACATTTGTAATGATAAATATTTTTATTCTTAAGATGAGAAAAGAGTATGATAAAAGAATAATAGGCTTGTTTGATCAAAGGTTGGCTTGTACTCTTTATTGCACAAGTTTCCGTTTTAGGCCAAAGTTAGGTTAAAATAAGCGCGAATGGCTTTGTATGGGGCTTGCAAAATACGCCAGTCTGCTGTTTACGCTTGCAAAGGGCACTGCATAATAGAACCTATGCGACGGCTGTCTGTAAACAATCGAGTATGTGCTAGGCCAGGGATAATGAAGCTGTGATAACAGGGATAATTGACATCAGTATTTTTATATTTATGAACGGGCCATTGTAGTATGGGGATTTCAATGTATCAAAAGTAATGGGATGTGTAAATTCATGTCTGAGTTATAATATTTTGACAAGCTAACCAGGTTTACCCTCCTCACAACAGGGTGATGCAAGGGCAGTTGGCTATGGTCGGAGTGAACGACAACCTGGTGTTTCCTACAACGATCCTTTCGATCCCAGATTGTAAGTGTAAGGTGTAGCGTGATTTATCCTTTATCTGCAGATCAACAACATCCAGTTAAGTATATCTCCAAATGGGTCTTCGTGTAATTTAACATGATTATTATATACTCATAATCTGCATGAGAAACATGACGAAATATATTGGTTGTGTGTCTCGGATGTCAAATATTCTATCGCGAACTCAAACTGAGCACAACGGAACAACGTCTCCGTCGATTGGAAGCAGGGCTTGGTCTAGTTCGGTTGTTGTTTAACGCTGCACTCAGCAATATTCCAGCTATATGGCGGCGATCTGTAAATAATCAGATAATCCAGTGATGAAGAGCATGTGCATAGATCTACGCATTAAGGATACGATGACATTGGAATCGCTGGCTCGCAGTCTGCAGTAGCCACGTCCTCAAATATTACCGGATGGCGTTTCGGTAAACCCTACAAAACGTACACTATCCCCAGGATCACACACACACACACACAAAATGCAAGTTACAAACCGGGCTCAGTGTCGGGATGGCCATACTTACAGCATTGCGGCCATACCACTGATTATGATGGAGGTTTCACGAACATCACTGTTGGAAAACTGAAAGAAGGTGTTAAAATAGTTTTGTTTTGGCAATATGTCCTCATGTCCATTAAAACTGTCGATGCCTTTGGATGTTTAGGTAAAACGAAGTTTACTTTCCTTACCCTTACCCTTCCCGTATGTAGACGCCTGATTCGCAGGCTAAATGTTAATGAAAATCATAATTTGTGATCAATTGAGATGCAGACGATGCAGTAGCCAATACATTGCATGTATCCCATTGGCATCCAACTGTCCATGTCAGCGGGCGGCAGGTAGTGCTCGTATAGTGCTTGCATGTTCGGCGTCTGTGATCCTCCTCCGTCTGTAGATAGCATCTTCCCAGAAACCAAATGAAGCTTAAATTTCACATGCTTGTTCCCATGATTTGTTCAAGAGGTTCAAATCCGAATTTCAGTATAACCACTACCGCAGCCATTTTGGACCGCAACTATATGCGTCTTTGTAACCAAAGTTGGTGTATGTCTTTTTTGGGGTAAAGTTTTGACAGTTCTATGAAAATGTATTTGTAGCTCTGTAAACATCTCTGAAAGTACCGGGTTGAGGAAGCTGAATTGTGATATCGTAGTATGTCCAGAACACAGCTATGTTAGAGGGTCAGAAGTGATACTGATAGCATTTAACTTAAACTCAAGGCCGGCAGCAGCATTTAATAACATCTGTCTTTGTTGGCATTGTACACAGATGAGCTACCGTCAGACTATTCTTATTACAATGGCTTTGCTTTTGTAAGTTTGACTTGTTTTTCGATAGTAGTTGTATATACATGTACTGACAATTTTACATCCTTTTATGTTGACAAAAAGCTCGTGGTCTCTTATAATTCGATAATTTGGGTATTTATTACATTCGTCAGTGATGAGTATATAATGTAATGTACTTTAGTAATTTTGTCTATTTGTCCATGTAATGTTCACTAATTACGATATATTGCCTTTCAATGCTTTGAAATTTGAATTTGTTTTTTCGATCGACCTTGGCAGGTCATTTGCTGGCCTTCAGGACATTGTGTTTCCCAACGCCCAGTTTATAAGACCAGATAAGGAACCCCAAGACAACATCTGTCTCGCCGTAGACGACGTCGGTGACATCGTCCACGAGTACCTGAACAAATATCACGACTGCTTGGATTGCATGCGGTCAAGGTCACCATGTGGAAACTGGGTACACATGCCCGAAGCCGTTCTTCCTGCGAAGTTTGCTTCCTATGAGTTGTGGTTGGCAGCCAAGAACGAGGCAGCAGTTGACAACGAGACTAATGAGGACTGTCGTCTGCTCGCATCCGAACTCACTTCTCACGGTGTCAGACGACTCTGGTTAGATTTATCTTCCTACAGTCCAAGCACCTCAGATGACCAAGATGTGTTTTCACAACAGGGATCTGTGAGCTGCGGGTCAAGTTCACCTAGGGACTCCTCATCAGCTGTGAACGAAGATCTGACCTGTAGCGACCCTGACCAGTGTCCCCATTACAAGCAGTTGCTCTATTATCCTGTAGGCGCTGAACCCAGTGCCCCCCACATCGGAGCTGTGGGCAGAAAGAAATTGCGACTCCATCAAGGACTTCGTCCCCCGTGTGTCTTACGGCTTCAACCTCCCAGTGCCAGATGTGGTCAAAGAGAAGTCGCTGGCTTCTGAAGCTGGCATGGACGAAGCTGATGAGGACTTGGATTCCAAAACCGACAGGCATACCAGCAGGCTGTTTGACCTTTGTGTGCCAGAGCAGAACGATGGCCAAGGGGATGGAAGCCCGAACAGGTATGTAACAGGCTGGTACACAGGAGGACCTTTTGGAATGAATAGGTACGAGTGAGTGAGTTTGGTTGTTCGCGGACTTAAATTCAAGCGAGTAACATCATAAATCGGCTTCACATGCCCACCTGATCCCAGATAGTTATCAGGAACCTCGTCGCTGCCTAGTAAGACGTACAAAGATGCTCTACATTTGTAGCAACTGTCCGTTTCCAAGACGCCTGTATTTCATATATGGTAGCCGCATTTTCTCTCTCTAGGTCACATGAGTGGTCTCCACGAGATGTCCAACCTCCAGAACAGCATTCGTCCCCAGAAACCGGCTTACAAATCCCACTCCTGGTGTCCACCAAGAGGAGGGAACGTCCAGTGAGGGGAGTCAGGAACGCCAGGAGGTCCAACTACCGAGACTACCAAGTCACATTTGTCGATGACGTACAGTTCTCGGATCCATGCAGGTGCGGTGGCTGCTCCTATACAGTATGACATTGGTATCTACAATGAACGCTTCATAACTGTTTAATTTATCACGACTTGTTTGTTTCATAAGTGAAGAAAGCTAAACCAGACGCTGGACGTGGATTATTTAGTGAGCATGGGTACAGGTATGATTCTGGCAAATCAAAAATCATGATTGGCCCGAAATTGGAATTTCACTTGCATCTTAGTTTACGGAGTTTGAACTACAAATCCCAGAAGGATAAGATTCCTTAATATCATGACTCTGTAACCTACATATGTCATGGCCTACATGTTTCAGATACTCGGAGCCAGAAACTGTGTCCAGTTCCAGGGCCACCATTTCAGACACTAGAGTATGGACTGTTAAAAACAATGGTGTAGAGGGATGTCCCGCAAACAACAAACACGGCTTCAGCAGGAGCGAAACCCACCAGGAATACAGAGATGCTCATGTGAGAGACAACAGTTACCCTGCTAATCAGAGGATAGAACTGTCAGCACACAGTGAGCCCTTCATTCCAAGGTGGCGAGTATCGGATGAGAACAGCTTTATGGGATGTGAGAGTGAAAAAAGATTGAATAAGATCGAGGAAGAGCTAACAGATATGAGAACTTCTCCGCAACAGAGGCACGAGAACCAGAATAGTCTTAGTCCTCGCAGTCAGCCCCTGCTGCTCAAAACGCCCTCTCCGGAGCAGATGAAGCGATCGCCAGTGGGGGATCACGAGCTTCAGTTCCAGCTAGATGACAACGACCACCACCAGCAAAGCCTTGTCTGTAATGTTCAGAGCGACGAGTTCCTAAATAGTCCTGAAAGTCATAAGTCAGCAGAATCATATCAGCAGTGGTCCCCAGCCCATGACTCGGAGGAAAGTCCAGTCAAAGAGTACGAGCTGTTCGATACGAAGAAATCGTTCTATGACAATTCCCTTCTGGACAGGGTTCAACCCATCACCAGTGTGGGTAAGTCAGCCAGCAAACCCTGTGGTCTTATAGGCAATATGAAGTTTACTGGGAACGGATGGAAGAAGATATATGAAAAAGGAAACACCGTTGATGATTTGTGGAACATATGGAGCAGCCATTCAGAGACCAAGACAGATGTCAAAGATCAGTCATGGACAAATGGTGATGCAAAACTCCTCAAGCCTCTTTCAACCTCTTTTCAGTGCAGTGTGAACGATCTGCAGCCAACGCCAACGTCCGTTCCGACAACAGTTTGGCAACGTACATCTCAGAGTGTATGGACAAAGCCCGAAGCACCTGTCCAATCGCAGTATACCTATGTACCCAATCAGTCCCACCTGACTCCACGGTCTGTGAGGTCCAGTCTGGCGTCCTATTCCCGCACCTCGCAGCACCAGAGTAGCATGCCCTCTGACAAATCTGACCAGATCCCCCCAGGCACGAATAATACGGCCACAGACCCAGCACCAGCTGGAACTCAAACCATGTATAGATGTATTCCCTCGTGGTGCTTTGGCAGAGCCACATCCGCGCCAGTATCAGACATCTCCTTGGACGGCGGCAGAGCGGAATGTGGTGACGAATCTACACCAGTCACAAGACAACACACGATATATTCAGGTAAGCTGTTCTGTTGCATGGACAACTTGTTTTAAGAAAGGTCTGAATATGTATGATGCGATGTGTTGCATGGTGCTGTATCAGATACAAAGTTAATCTCACAAAATTGTGTGTGTTTTTTTCAGTCTCAAGGAATGGGTGCAGTTCGACCAAACCAAAACATCTCGTTTGTGTCCAACAGGATGGCGTGTGTGCCGACTCCTCAGCCTTACGACTACCGCAATATGGTGGTTCTACAGCCTCACCAGAAACAGCCCGATCCCAGGCCCACGTTGCAGCCAACAGTTTTATCTCATGGGTTCGCACCTCAACCTTCTTCTCTCAAACCTACCACATATCACACGTTTGGACCGTCTCTCGCTTCAACCCTCCACCGAGTCCCATTTGATCAACACTCACGTCTGCAACCCTCTATCATTTCCCGCCCAAATGCAGCCTTTGCGCCTCCGGCTGGTTTTGCCCCAACCTTGCCCACCCAGACCTACAGACATGTGACTGTCGCAGCCAATTACAATCCACCGAAGTTGGTGGCTGTTCCAGCGTTTGATGCCCGCCCCCGGCCGAGGTATTATACGTCATTTCTCAACTTCAACAACCACAACGAGGCATATAGCTCAGACTCTGAACTGTCCGAAGCGTCGGTTGACCGGGAGGAAGATCAGGACGTGTTTGATAGACATGGTCGAGCTCGTCCAATCCGTGCTAATCCAGCCAATCTCATACATTTGACCTGATGGAACCAGATAATGTGAAACGTTTGTTCTTTTGGCTTTTGTAATTTGTCGTTTTCTTCATTGGTTGCCTTTTTACCAGAAAGCATAGATCTCTTCAACGTTAATGTCATTTCAGTTTTGACATGACGGATGATGTTTAATGTCTTTTTCTTGTTTTTGACACTGTGTACACAGAAATCACTGGCATGTGTGAACGTACACAAAATCGTTGAGGAATGGCATGGAATTATTTTGATGAGAATTCATATATTGTACACATTCTTATTAACACGGACATATTTAATGCCTCATTTATAGAAAGAAATAATAGAATGATAAACCAAGAAAATAATTTTGAGTTGTTTTCACCAGAGCATGTGGTATTTATATCAGTGCTGTACTTGTTAATGTCGGAATGTGACACACTGACAGATTGTTACATGGTGAAATGAAAACGTCCTCGTGGTAGACTGCGACGTTGTGGTCAGTACTGTTGTCGTCGCAGCCATTTAAATGTACACGGATGGTATAAAGTATTATTTACCACCAACCCCAACGCCACACTCACGACACAAAGTCATGGTCATCATAACCCACATGCGTACAATGTGTGAAGCCCATTTCTGGTGTCCCCACAGTCGTCATCTTGCTGGAATATTGCTAATAGCAGCGTAAAACTAAACTCACTCACTCGATCATCATCACCATCCCGTTACCACCACAAGCTGAACAACTAACCTCAACTCGGCATCACCTCCAAACTCAGCATCGCCACACCACTACTACATGAACAGTACTCATACCATCATCATCAACAACAACAACAACAACATCATCATCAACAACATATCACTACCACTACGCTAACAACACCCAGCAACCTTGTCATCACCAACAGGACGACTATACTATGATCAATTACAAGGACCTGCGTCACCGCCACGTCGTCACCGCCTTAATATAACAAATATTCAATGTCAAATATGAGTCCACAACTCATCAAGAGTGCAACATACCCCCACATGTATATTAGGAACTCGTAAACCAACTGGAATACCCAGTACATATATATGTGTCTTTCAAATCGACGCTGAACACTAAATACTCAATGACTATATGAGCTCATGCATATAGCAGAACACTACACCATGATGATTACACAATGCCATTTAGAAAGTGGTCAAATGCAACATGTGTTATATTTGGGATTACACTTTCTTAGTAAAGTACAAATTCTAGTACTTTTTGAGTTGAGTCCCATCCGGGATTCGAACTCACACCCTCAGAGTCAGGCACCCAATCGCCAGCACACAAAGTCAGCCGCCTAACCCACTCAGCTACCGCGACTTCCACAAAAATGGAAGTCGGACAACTATTAGTCTAGACTGCGGGCTTTGTGTACCCTCTGATAAGTGTTAATTGGCACGGCTCCCACGGCCGAAAGCTATGATTACACAATGCCATTTAGAAAGTGGTCAAATGCAACATGTGTTATATTTGGGATTACACTTTCTTAGTAAAGTACAAATTCTAGTACTTTTTGAGTTGAGTCCCATCCGGGATTCGAACTCACACCCTCAGAGTCAGGCACCTAATCGCCAGCACACAAAGTCAGCCGCCTAACCCACTCAGCTACCGCGACTTCCACAAAATGGAAGTCGGACAACTATTAGTCTAGACTGCGGGCTTTGTGTACCCCTCTGATAAGTGTTAATTGGCACGGCTCCCACGGCCGAAAGCTATGATTACACAATGCCATTTAGAAAGTGGTCAAATGCAACATGTGTTATATTTGGGATTACACTTTCTTAGTAAAGTACAAATTCTAGTACTTTTTGAGTTGAGTCCCATCCGGGATTCGAACTCACACCCTCAGAGTCAGGCACCCAATCGCCAGCACACAAAGTCAGCCGCCTAACCCACTCAGCTACCGCGACTTCCACAAAAATGGAAGTCGGACAACTGGTAGTCTAGACTAGACTAGACTAGACTACACCATGATATCTGTCTTTCAGCTTAACCAGTTATATGTATTCAAGTGCTGGAAAGAATATATGCCCCTATCTGGATGTAACACACTGACTTTGACTACCTTAGGGAAGGACAAATAGAAACAATGTTTCAGTGAATCAGTTTATTGTTTAGTTTGAATATTTTTTCTCACCGCGATTTGTGTTTGTAGGAGTCCAATGAACACACTATTTTGATAATAAATTATCTAAACAGCCATGTGTTTATAATCTCACCCTCTCGTACAAAGGACATACTCCCCATGAACCGAATCTATATGTTTTCATGGCCTGATTTGGCGGAAGGTTGCTGTCAAAAGGTTGTGCACTTTGAGCTTACATTGTTTTCCATAGTTGTGATGATGACATGTTTATAAACATGCCACATCACCAGGGCTCAACCCACACAAAGCTCCTTTAGAGCTAAATAGCTTGGGCCCCATACTTTACCATAGTCACCAACCAGCAGTCTCTCTACCCTCGTATAGCAGCGCGGAGGAAAATATGTTTTCTCTTTATAAAACGGGAGTGAGTGAGTGAGTGTGGTTTTACGCCATTTTTCGCAGTATACAATCAATATCACGGCGGGGGACACCAGAAACAGACTTCACACATTGTACCTAGGTGGGGAGTCGAACCCGGGTCTTCAACCTGACGAGCGGACGCTTTTACAATAAGGCTACCCAGCGGCCTGCAAGTAATAGAGTCTGAAAACACAAGTGATGCATACTGTGATCAACTTCAATAAAACTAAAAGCTGAATATTGTTCGTACGGTATAATTACAAAAGTTAGAAACATGAAAATATCGTGATACATTAAATATTCGCAGAAGAAAACGAATTGTTTTTATTCTCTCTCTCTGGTTGTACGTGCTTTGTGAAAATGACCTAAATTGGAAACGGCTCGTTGCCCTGCCAACGTGACCTCTCTCAAGGCCCCGACAATATCTTTACATGAGTGTGAATGTGTCATCAGTTCGTAACTGTCGGATGTTACAAATTGTGTCAGATTATGTCCAACAGGTTGGGCGAGTTCAGTGGTGACTTCTTACAACTTTACAATAATACTCTTTACGGAATCTATAACAATACGCAAGCAATTGGAAATGATTAACTTCGTGCCAAAACGTGCAAATGGTAATCTTTTGAAAACTAGCACGGTATAAGTTAGCCTTGCTCCAAGGCTTTACTGAATGCTAAACCCATGGATGTATAGTAATTCTATCCTTCGAAGAGGCAATAGATAAGATAAGCGGACCCCAGCCTGTATTTATGATTTTTAATAGAAATTTTCATTTAAACTAGTAATTATTACCTTAGAGACTTGAGCAAGTCAAGGTATAAGTGTACACACTAACACAGTCCGCACCCCCTTTATGTGCAATAGCAGGTCCCGTAGACTGGCGACAATGAAACAAGTTTGCCCCGGTCCTATGTCAACATGATCTGTCCGGATGGGGCGCGGTACTGTTTACGTGAGCTGGATCCTGTCTCTCATATCGCAATATAACCGACTCTTAGCTTTGGCGCAGGTTGACGCGCGCAAAGGGAGCTGGGAACCAGCATAATTATTAAACGTCAACAGGCAATGGTGACGTCATTTGAACTTTATTGTGAGCAGGTGCCTTCTGGGAACCCACTAATGAAGATTGTACGGTCAGAGTTAGGTTTGTTTGTTTGAGGGTTGACTGTGTACTTTTCCCCCTGTTCATTTTGACGTGTAAATCGAAAAACCCATATGCAAACTGTATAACCAACGGGGCCTGTTATAACCCCGATAGAATCTCGAATGGCTGTGTCAATGGCTTATTTCTATGCTCATTCGTTTAGCCACCGGTTTGAATACACATGACTCGTTTATTTACACAACCCCGTGATATGGTTGAAATGTTTTTGACTGCATTGATAAAAAGACAAGTAGGCCTACGCAACGTACGCTTCAACAAAGATACATACACTGTACCATTCCGTGGGCTATTACGTATGCCACGACCCCTAAGTCAGGTAACACCCGTCTATGTCAGATACATGACATCCATCCGATGGCCAAGGGCAACCCTCCGACCAGGGTCAAGGCGACCTCAGGTTGCGGTGTCAACTTCTCAGGTCAGTGCCGGATAATCCGTATATCCGTAACTCTACTCATGGATGACCGATCAGTTGTGGGTCAGTCGGCACGCTAGTTCCGTATAACCCACATATGGTTATATGACTTTCGGAGGTAGCTCAGCTCGTAAAATTACAAATAGGAAGTTACATTACAAATAGGAAGTTACATTACTCGGAAACTGTGTCATGCTACCTCACGATATTTACGGACTGGGCCACCTTCAAACTTTTAGACTCATTGTAATTATACACATGGATACATGGTATAAGATATTGCTGACTTATCACAAGCGTTATATTATTTCTTTATGTAGACAGAGTTGTAACTATACGGTACCTATTGGTTAGTGATCAGCTTTCGCATTAACCCATGTCTGTCCGGAGAGTAATTGCCCTTTATCAAAGGGAAGCAACTCTGTTCTATTGTACGAGACGTGTGTTCGCAGTCTACCCGGTTCTAGTTATGAATAACGTTTCGTAACGGAATTCAGACATACAGTCAGATATCACAGACAACAACGAAACGAAGGGTTTCGGTCAAATCCAAAGGTGTTTAATGTGAGAAAAATACCCCAAGCCAATTAGGGCTACAAGCACATGTATGAACTGGCGTCAGGATCGATCGCCCTCCGCTATATTAATATTAATTAGGGCTACAAGCACATGCATGAACTGACGTCAGGATCGATCGCCCTCCGCTATATTAATATTAATTAGGGCTACAAGCACATGTATGAACTGACGTCAGGATCGATCGCCCCGCTATATTAATATTAATTAGGGCTACACGCACATGTATGAACTGGCGTCAGGATCGATCGCCCTCGCTATATTAATATTAATTAGGGCTACAAGCACATGTATGAACTGACGTCAGGATCGATCGCCCTCCGCTATATTAATATTAATTAGGCCTACAAGCACATGTATGAACTGACGTCAGGATCGATCGCCCTCCGCTATAATATTTGTTCCGCTTAAAAGTTGCCAACTCTCAACTTCTCCCCTTTTACCCACCGAATGTTGCTATAATTATATTTCGACGATGATAACAACAATGATGTAAGCCATTTGTCCATGTTCCCGATTGTCCGTTCCGTCAGAAGGGCCTTGTACCACCTTGTACATTTTCATATTGATCTGCAAAGGACCCAAAACGATACATTCCTCATCCACAAGTGTTATATACACAGTTCACGGCAAGAAAACAACACAGGACCATCCTATTCTATTATCCGCTTATCTAGACTTGCCTCATTAAAGGATAGAATTACTATGATAGTATACATTCATTTGCTTAGCTTTCAGTACAGCCTTGGAGCAAGCCTGAGCTGGGCCTTTACGTGCAACTTGTTGAATATACGCTGACGATTTGTCACTTTAACACGTCATACATTTTGTCAACCAACCTAGATTTCTGTTGCCCCCAGTATTACATGACGGCCCCATCGATAGATAATGTGTAATAAAAATGGAAAAGCGTTTGGCGCTGCATAATGGCAACGAGTCTAGGTGACAACTAAGGCGGTGAGGCAGCCCTGTTGTTACGTGACGATTCGATTCTCCGTACGGGACACTGTGTGAAGCCCATTTCTGTTGTACTCCGTCTTGATGTTGCTTGAATATTGCTGAACGGGGCGTAAAGCTAAATTCACTCATCCTATGACACACAGAATGCTGGTTCAAGATTATATCCTGCCTCAGATTGTCGTCCTCTGCTGGTTTTTAAGTATAATCGTGCTCTTTATACTCTTACACTACTTACGGACGAGTTTAACATCAATGCACAGAATGACCTTGTGTTTTTTGTAGGAGTACACACTCACGTTGTCCAAATGCACTCATATGAACTGACTGCAGGCTAGTTTCGTGTGTTGTTCAACGCTACACTGCCGTATGGTAGCAGCATGACGGCGGTCTGTAAAGAATCCATTTTGAACCAGGTAATCGCGTGACTGACATCAGAAGCATCGATCTAGATAGTCTGTCCATACAGACCCTGAAGCAAATATATCCAAGAAAGCCCACGCAAGTATAGCTTCAGGGCTTCAGGGCTCCTTTTCATTATATTTTATGTTTTTTACAATGAACTTTTCCCGTAAAATATGACCATTTCAGATTAGTTGTTAGTCTACGTTCTAGACACCAGGGGCGGATACAGCTTTTTGAGAAAGGGGTGTGTGTGTGCGCAGTTCAGAAAGGGGGTGGGTTGGTGCACAGTTAATTTACACCCATTTTCTCGAGAGTTTCAATGGTAATTTAATAAACTTTCAGGACAAAAGTGGGGGCGCGCATCCCTGCACCCCCCTCTGGATCCGCCAAAGGGCACACTTGGAAGCAATGATCTGCATCAACTATATCACAACATCCAACGGTTCCCTCCAGTCGCCTCTTACAACAAGCTAGGGTTGCTGAAGATCACTTTAAACCCTTATCTTATCTCTCTCTCTCTCTCTCTGTGTTAAAAGAAATACGATTATACGAAGCAGGGGTCCTATTCATATTTGTGGAGTCACAATACCTAACTGCGAATATATGAACACAAATAATGTGTGAAACATAGTCATAAACAGCAGGAATGTGTAGCAAGTCTATTAAATCTCATATAGTCAGCAAGCTTACACAGTATATTCAACAGGCGAAGAGGCAAGAAGCAGCTACGACAATGCTGTGTACACACGGTTACGTTTATATTCAGTGTTGCTCAGTTGAAGGGCAGCGGAGCCTGTGTCAGTGGGTTCATTTTGAGCGAGCAGACGACATAAATGTAGTTGTCACGGAAATTGTCGATGTTTGCCGAAGCGCAACACGTAATCAGAATTGACGCTCGGGCTGGCTCAGCACGGGAAAAGCTTCAACACAACGAAGCAGGATTAGCCAACACTCGCACGTGGAGATCAAGTTTATAAATCGCATTGAGAGTTCGTTTGGCCATGATCGCCACATGAATACAGTGACGGAAGGAAGTTTTGTCATTTCAGCAAAAGTTTCACCAAAACAAGGTAGGGTTCTCACACCTGCTCAGTCTCGCTTCGGATTCCTCGGCTGACAGCAGCCAAAGTAACGTTGGCGGATACACTTTATTAGTTTTCCTTTTTCGAAGTGAATTATGTTTGAACTCATGACGTGGAACGAGATCGTCGATAGCTTGATTTCTGAGGGGAAACTGAAGAAAGCCGCCATTTTCGATCTAAATGGCGAAAAGTTGGCCGGGACGAGCGGGATAAACATTACCGGGCAAGAAGCGGTGGGCATTCTCAAGTCCATGGTGTTCCTCACGACAAATATATTCAGCCTGTTTGTAGAGGCGATCCAGTACAGCTGTTTCGCCGTGGATAAAGATACAGTGATCGGGAGAAACTCCGATGGTATCTTTGTGGCACAGCGGAGCAAAGATGTTTTGATCTGTGGATTTACTGATGTCACGTCGGAGGTGTCCTGCTTGGGCGGGGTGAGGAATTTTGCCACCAAGTTGACGGATCAAGTTGGGCCCGTTGTCGCTGCCCCGAGCCTCATGTGATATACAAGTTGTTTCAAAATTCCAGGAGAAAATATCTGAGCTCGAATGACAGTAATGAATTGCTCTGTCCATGCTATGTAATTATATACTGACAGAAACATATTAATCTGATGTGCGACCTTTCAGAAAATATACACATATTTACTCTTCAACATAATTATGTTGTCAAGCATGCTACTGTGTAATTGGCAATGACATTCAACTGTGTACATTCATCTATAAATTATCATCTACAGTCGATCCGGATTTATGACAGTATGGCTTTATTATTGCCCGTGACCAATACTATCAAAGATGTCAATTGGAAATATGTTCAGTGAGTTTTGGCTAGATAAAGCAATCATGTTCTTCTTTGTAAAAATACCATTTGGCCTGGTCTGTTGCTTTGTTGCCTATGACCTTGCCCATCGGAACAGTCTCTCTAACTACATAACTTAAGCGAAATTGCCCGAGGCGTGTCGTCCCCATGTGTCACGGGCGAAATACGATGTTGAAGACAATGAGCTCATCTTATAAATCTTTGTTCACTTAGAGCACCGAGTCTTATGGAATGCGGGACTACTGAGAGCCAAACATGCAGGAATTTAACAAGGAAATCCCCTCCAATATTAATGTTAACTTCCGTTTAATGCATGCACAGATGCGCGAATCTCTGGTGTACCAGATGAGTGTGTAACTGCGAATCTCTGGTGTATAAATGTAATTTCATTTTATCTTCCGTTAAATACTCGTGTAATACAGATGTGTAGTAACTGCGAATCTCTGGTGTATAAATGTAATTTCATTTCTATCTTCCGTTAAATACTCGTGTACTACAGATGTGTGGTAACTGCGAATCTCTGGTGTATAAATATAATGCCATGTTATCTTTCTTTAAATGCACATGCATTACAGTTGCTAGGTAACTGAATCTCTGATGGATATATGTAATATCATTTCATCTATCTTCCTTAAATGCACATGCATTACGGTTGTATGACATCTGTATTGTGTATAATGTAATGTATTTTCCTGTCTGTTGCATGCATGATTTAGCAGATTTACACACTGTTGGTGTTAACGTTGTGATTATATATTTACGTTGGATGTTTGTCATATTGAATAGATGATGGTTCAATGTTTAAACATTATGGTTTATAATGCACGCACGTTATGTATTCAAGGAACTGCTGAAACACTGTATGTACAACAATTTGTGTGCAGATAAATATGTTACATTGTGTTGGCAGATTGCCGTAAATACCAGTGCACCAAAAGAAGCCCCAAATTCAACTTTCATTTTATCTGAAAGGAATGTGTCGTTACGTCAATAAGACATACGTCTGTTTGTATACTTCTTGATGGCTGCGGTATTGTGAGTTCTAAAACAACAAGCTGCGGTATTGCGAGTTCTAAAACAACAAGCTGCGGTATTGCGAGTTCTAAAACAACAAGCTGCGGTGTTGTGAGTTCTAAAACAACAAATTACGGTATTTCGAGTTCTAAAACAACAAGCTGTGGTATTGCGAGTTCTAAAACAACAAATTGCGGTATTGTGAGTTCTAAAACAACATTGAACAGATATTAAGAATACTTTGCGGGAAGGACTGTCGTTAAAGTGCTTCGGTAGTATGAATACAGTAATATGTCTTATCTGTGACAGGCAGTATGGAAATACTCCCATACTCAAACTGTATTACCTTTGTAACTGTGTGAATGTCGTGCAGGGAGCGTTAACAGATATCTTGACTTATTAATTAGGGCTGGTATTTATGGAAAACGGCTTCACCTGACGCTGGATGTTTCTCAGGGTGTGGATCACAGGTTTGTCCGGTTTCAGACAGCCTGTGTTGGACGTGTTATTGTCACCGATATTAATCTGTCATTAACCTCATCTTGACCGGGAGTATAGTCATATAGTTGTACAATCAGTGGTTATGGCGTCCATTATTTCACACCCATTGCTTTCAGATGTGAAGTGCACGAAAATGTGATACCTGTTCTCGAAGTAAGCCTGATACTGTATATACAGATATTTGTTTGTGCTGAAAACTGCGAATTTCTACTTTTGTGCTGAAATGTTTTTATGCAAATATTATATTGACATATACGTATTATACAATCATGTGCTAACACTAGTCCTTTGTTTATATGTTGTTCATGTATTAAAATGTGGTGAAAATTGTGCACTTGTAAAGTCATCTTTAGAGCAGAGTATACGGTATGGGCCTACTTAGGCGTGCCTCCAGGGCTGCATTTATGAAACAACTTCTTTTTAAGTATTAAATACGGCCCAAGGTCATGATTCGAGATTGGCACCGTTTTCACCAAGTGAGTGAGTGATCCTTGGACGCGTTAAGACGTTAAAGGTGGTATTTTGTTGTTTTTCTGCTTGGCGCTAGTATCCGCCTCAGTAGGTTGATGCTCTGGGGGATATGACTCTAATCAGCACACAAGTCCGTCTTGGGGTCCACACGATTTATTCTGGTAGTTACAAGGGGTGGCTCTGAACTCTGAGTTTCAGTCCGAACTGCCGAGCACTGCTGGTTCACAATCATTTATACCATCCATTAATTGACATAGCTGACATTCCTTGCCCGTACCCGGCTTTTCCCCCATTCCATGTTTGGTGTAGGTCCCTGTGGTCAGTTTGTGTCTTTTGCCAGGGTTACGTCTTCCCCGATCGGATTCTTGACCGATGGGGAAGGGTGACTCATGTCGCCAGTTCGGGTTCCCTAATACGGAGACCGATCCGTGATTCTTGCCTCTGACATAAGCTTGGTATTGTGGGGATAAACGAGGACCCGGAGTCATTATACTGTGTCCGTGTGGAGTATCCGTATTGCGCCATGGTATCTCCGTTGCTTGCACTATGAAATGTTCATTAGTCAGTACTAGTACATACAACCGCACACACGTCTCTTTGAGTACAATAATGTCGAACGCTACGTTTAATCACCTTTTACCGAGCCGCACCCTCTAAATAACGATGATTACCAGGGACCCGTTTCACAAAGCGATCGTTGCGTTAACTCTCATTTTCTGGCCGAGAATTGCCGCAGCGTAAGGTTGCTCTGTGGAACGGGTCACTGACTCGCTTGACTGCGTGTCTACATACCCCGACGACATGGGACGTTGTTCCTAACAACATCTGGTACGGTAGATTTCGACCCGATTATTTGCATTCGAACCTCGTTATGTCGAATGTATCAGTTTCTCGAACGTGTCCCCCGGCCCCAATCTCCTCACTATATGATACCTATAAATTTGGCAACGTATCTGGAATTCGAGATACGCGTATCAAAGCTTGGACTGAGCTAATTTCGACATCACTAGAGTTTTCGTACCTATATCTTGAAGTCTCGGCATTTGGCCCAAGCAGTTACAGCTAGTACCTAAACTAGTATAGACCGATAGTGTAGTTGGTGAAATATTTTATTACACAGTGGACATCTCTTGAGAAATCTTAATGTAGCATCACCAGGACTGGTGTTAAACTATCAATACAAATGGAACTTAATTAAATACATTTCATCATAGTGATGTTGCTATCGATGATGATAAGTCAGTGATGCCATTGTTTGGTAGCACATTTCAGAAAACTAAGTTTCATTTTGAAAGGGTTTGCCCAAAACGCTGCCCTAATGCTACCCATTTATGTCATGAGAAAAGCCGTCCAAGGGTATACAACTTGTGAATATTTGTTTTATCCATAACACGACTAGAAGAAAACTTTCACTGGGAGTGAGATAGCAGATAGTGTGTATGCACGCAGCTGGCATGTCATTCAAGGCCGTCGACGTCTGCCACTCTGGCACCAGCAGACCTATTCGGCAACACAAAGAAACAGGCGCTTTCAAGGATCGACCAAGGCCAGGGCAAAACGGGGAGACCACTCTAGATAGCGGAAGATGGCAATCAGGGTGCTGTTTTTCAAAACAACCTTAGCGCTAAGGCTACCTTAAGTCAGTGTTAAAGTATGGGAGTTATGGTCACCTTAGCGCTAAGGCTACCTTAAGTCAGTGTTAAAGTATGGGAGTTATGGTCACCTTAGCGCTAAGGCTACCTTAAGTCAGTGTTAAAGTATGGGAGTTATGGTCACCTTAGCGATCGCTTTGTACAACGGCACCCTGGACCGTTACGTGAGGCGTGAACCCTTCGCCACGATCTCTTGTTTGAAGCAACTCCGGGTGCCCAGCAGGCGTTTGTCAACCATGACCGTCTCAAGGTTGCTTGGTTTGAAGGGTCATCACGACTCATCAAGCATCCAACTACGACTCATGAACATCAAAGGCAGCGTCTGCAGTGGTGTTTTCTCGACGGTGTTTGAATCCTGGGACCTGGAGACCGTTGTTCAGACTAAAACAGGTTCCTGCTTCTTGTTACAGTGGTCGTCTGAGAGTTTGGAGGCGCATTTACGCTGCTTAGGTGCCGAGGAACATTCATTGTACTGTTCCCCTTGATGGAAGCTCACTTATGGTGTGGGGATGTGTCTCCCATGACTGTAAGTTGACATTAGTAACTGTATGGGGAAATCTTAATGGCCAGCAATACATCTGGGACATCCTTGATCAATTTGTTGTGCCTCATTTTGAGACCGCCTCCGTGGTGTAGTGGTTAGAGCGTCCACCCGGAGAGCGGAAGGTTGCGGGTTCGATCCCCGACCGCGTCATACCAAAATACGTTAAAATATGGTACTTGTTGGTCCCTGCCTGGCGCTCGGCATTAATGGGTACAACAAGGACTGGTCGGCTCGGAGTCAGTATAATGTGTCTAAGTGGGGTATTCATGCTTCACTGCGGCATGGTATCTCAGTGGGCTAGCACTATAAAACCAGCTTCAGTCTGGGCTAGTACAAGCAGCCGCACATACACATACACACGCATGCACGTCGTCATATGAGCGAAATATTCTCAAGCACGACGTAAAACCCAATTTCACCTCACCTCACCTGCCTCATGTTGATGACCATCGGCTACCCGCCACATATCCATGGACAGGAACACCGCACCACATCGTTCCCGTGCTGTGGTACAGTTCCTGCGGAATAATGTTTTCAAGACACTCCCTTGGCCTGCGATGCGCCGTGATCTGAAACCCAGATCAGGGAAGGGACCCTCCAGGACAACGTGGGTTATTGGAGGCAGCATTGCGTGTGTATGTGTGTGCGTGCGCGTGCGCGTGCGTGTGTGAGTGTTAATTGCCTCGGTTCACTGTTCGCACGAGCAGGGTGGAGGCTGTCATCCAAGAACGTGGGGGATACACAATACTTATTCAATGAACTGCATTTCCACAAAATCAAAAGTGGTGGCAAATATCACGTACAGAACATACCCATTAACAGATTGCTTACATTTTTTTCTGTAGTCATTTATTTAATATTTCATCAAATAATCAGGCATTACTGCTCTTTTAGATGTATGAAAATTCGGAGACCTTTCCGTTCATGTCACTGTTCTAAAATAGGGGGATACTTAATTAAATTTCATGTGAATATATTCAGCACTTAACAAAGAGCTTATGTCATGTGGACGACAAGAGCAGATTTTACGAACGCTTCGTATTGATTCTTTCCAAAGATAAAATACTAACAACCGACAATGCTGATCTCTTGCGCTCTTCAAGCTGTGGGTATTTGATAAAAATGTCAAATGAAGTGTTCAGTGTTCACCGTTACTAAGTTACCAGTACATAGCAACGCGCACGCTTACACGAATGTGTGTGTGTGTGCGTGCGTCATGCCAAAGGACAAGGTATGATAAGGGTGGTTTTTGGCCCACAAACAGAATTGGCTGAACACATGTTATTTGTTTAGAGACAAGATTGCTTTGCATAAAAATGCTATTTTTTAGATGATCTGAGGCGTAATTTCAATGCAGAGGGGCCCAAAATGGGTTTTATCAGTTCCCATGAAGAATAACAAGAAGTCTGAAATATCAGTGTGCCATAATGACTTAGTTACAACTACCATTTTATTTACATACAAATAACATCAGTTTTACAACAGGTATTCATGATGAAAAACATGTCAACATCAATCACAAGGTTTTAACTTAAAGGGGCCCAATTAGGGTTGCAATACATTGTGGACAGTAATTCAATTACATGCTAGTTGTTTACCAAAACACTCATTATTCACAACTTTCTTTGCAAATATAAACTATAGGTCAATTTTACAACATGTACTAATGATAACCAATCACGTCGCACTAAAATCACAGGGGCCCGTTTTGGGTCTAATTACATTTTGGGCATAGCTTGATTTTAACAAAGTGTTAAAAGTCTGTATTTACAACTAGTTTTAGCAAATATACAGTAAACATCTCATTCAGAACATGTTATTGCAATAACCAGTCATGTTGCACTAAAATCACAAGTCTTGACCTCAAAGGGGCCTATTTCAGGTGAAATCACATTCTTGGCACAGCTTGATTTTAACACCAAGTAAGTGTTAAATGTCAGTATTCACAACTAGTTTTAGCATACAGTAAACATCTCATTCACAACATGTCGTTACAATAACCAGTCATGTTGCACTAAAAATAACAAGTCTTGACCTCAAATGGGGCCTATTTCAGGTGAAATCACATTCTTGGCACAGCTTGATTTTAACACCAAGTAAGTGTTAAATGTCAGTATTCACAACTAGTTTTAGCATACAGTAAACATCTCATTCACAACATGTCGTTACAATAACCAGTCATGTTGCACTAAAAATTACAAGTTTTGACCTCAAAGTGGCCTATTCCGGGTGAAATTACATTCTTGGCACAGCTTGATTTTAACACCAAGTAAGTGTTAAATGTCAGTATTCACAACTAGTTTTAGCATACAGTAAACATCTCATTCACAACATGTCGTTACAATAACCAGTCATGTTGCACTAAAAATTACAAGTTTTGACCTCAAAGTGGCCTATTCCGGGTGAAATTACATTCTTGGCACAGCTTGATTTTAACACCATGTTAGTGTTAAATGTCAGTATTTACAACCATTCTTGCAAATCAACAGTACACATCTCATTCACAACATGTTGTTACAATAACCAGTCATGTTGCAATAAAAATCACAAGTTTTGACCTCAAAGGGGCCTATTTTGGGTGAAATTACATTCTTGGCACAGCTTGATTTTAACACCAAGTAAGTGTCAAAAGTCAGTATTTACAACTATTCTTGCAAATATACAGTACACATCTCATTTACAACATGTTGCTACAATAACCAGTCATGTTGCACTAAAAATTACAAGTTTGGACCTCAAAGTGGCCTATTTCGGGTGAAATTACATTCTTGGCACAGCTTGATGTTAACACCATGTAAGTGTTAAAAGTCAGTATTTACAACCATTCTTGCAAATCAACAGTACACATCTCATTCACAACATGTCGTTACAATAACCAGTCATGTTGCACTAAAAATAACAAATCTTGACCTCAAAGTGGCCTATTCCGGGTGAAATTACATTCTTGGCACAGCTTGATTTTAACACCATGTAAGTGTTAAAAGTCAGTATTTACAACCATTCTTGCAAATCAACAGTACACATCTCATTCACAACATGTTGTTACAATAACCAGTCATGTTGCACTAAAAATAAAAAATCTTGACCTCAAAGTGGCCTATTTTGGGTGAAATTACATTCTTGGCACAGCTTGATTTTAACACCAAGTAAGTGTTAAATGTCAGTATTCACAACTAGTTTTAGCATACAGTAAACATCTCATTCACAACATGTCGTTACAATAACCAGTCATGTTGCACTAAAAATCACAAGTTTTGACCTCAAAGGGGCCTATTTTGGGTGAAATTACATTCTTGGCACAGCTTGATTTTAACACCAAGTAAGTGTTAAATGTCAGTATTCACAACCAGTTTTAGCATACAGTAAACATCTCATTCACAACATGTTATCACAATTACCAGTCATGTTGCAATAAAAATCAATAGTCTTGACCTCAAAGGGGCCCATTGGAGGTGTAATTTCATTCTTGGCACAGCTTGATTTTTACACTAAGTAAGTGTTAAAAGTCTGTATTCAAACATCTTAACAAAGCAATTATTTACAACTCATTCACTGCTAAGATATTAAACATACACTTTTACTCTTCACCCACAAAGTCATCAATCTCAGTACCTGAATCACTATCAAGAACTGCAGCATTCAAGAGCGTATCACTAGTGTTGCTGGAAACTGGCATCTTGTCTTGGTGTCTGCCATACCCAAGGTACCAAATGACACTTGCTATGTGTGCACAACATCCAACAACTCTAGCACCCACTTTGCAAGTGCAGTACCATCCTGTCACCTTAACCTCAGTGAACTGAACCCACAAAGTGTGCAAGAGTGAGCCGACATGCCGAGACTGGATTTTCACTCGGATTAAATCATCCACTTCCTTACACAGGAAAAGCTGATAGGCATTGTCACTATCGACATGATTTGCAACATATGCTGGTGCCAACTTTAGTTGATAAACACCCATTGTTATATCCTAAGTTCATCCAGTGAAAGCACTGGAAAGCTTACATCATCAGCTTCAGTTATTGGAATGTATACATTCCTCCTTCTAAGAAGGTTTTCTCTTTCAACCAGTTCTTTGACTGGGTTGCCCTGCCGACTCCTCTCCAGCATCAACGATGCAATTCCCTCACCTTCTGGATCATGAGATGCCAGTGCTGGCCGGTACTTGTTGCATAGCGCACACACAATACGCACAAAATCCCCGATATGGGGTACATAATGATTTGAAACAACTTTATCCAAAAAAATCGCCACTGCTTAATTCTTCCGTTGCACGATTCAACAACCCACCGCACTTTAGTTATTAGTCTTGATACGTTAGCATCTTCTACTTCATGTTGTCTTTTCCCTTTTCCAGGTAAGCTGGCATTTCTACATGAAAACCATGTTTTCAAGAAAGGTTATTGAGTCTCTAAAGCCTCTATCCACAATGAAAACATCATCTGCTTCCAACCAATTGTTAATATCATCAGAATTTGTTGAAAGCATATGTTTAGTTATGGATGCATCATTATTCTTCCCATCAGCTGCATATGGACCAAGCACACTAAGAATATATCCATCAGTGCCAACTACCATCATGGGTTTAACTAAAGGTCTATGCTTATGCATGCTGTAGGATAGCTTCTGAAATTGGTGGTCAGCCCCTTTCTGAATGTAGATATATGGCCCATCCAAGACAAGAATAGCAACATTGACTTTGTCATTGGTGAAAAGTTTTTTGGCAACTGGAGTGGTATGATATTGCACAAACTCATCATGTTGAATATGCCCAAATCCTAAATTATTGGGTACAAAATGTAACATGAGACATTCCCTTGCACAATGAATTGCTCGCTGTACCTGTGACTTTGTAAGTTTAAACAAGGTACCAAGAAGGTTGTTCGACAGTCCAGTCCTGAGTTTTACAAGAATCAGTGCAACACATGTTCTGACTGATCTAACACTTGAGCCACGCAAAGACTGTGTATGTGACACAACATCATCAAATTGATCTCTTGTGATGCCTGTAAGTTTAAAATATTCATCATCACTAAGAAATGCAGGGTCATACCAAAGTGTACAATTTTGACAAAATCCTGGCCTTAACCGCCCCACTACAACCGACAATGCTGATCTCTTGCGCTCTTCAAGCCCATGCCGTCAGTCTTTTCGCAATGTTCGGCCGTCTTTATGCCCGTTTATGCAATCCTTCCTCTGACTATGTAACATTCATACTTCCTGCTCGGTCAGTAATGAACTTGAAAGTCATGGCCGCCTTGGAAGTCACAATACGAGTAGCCTCCTTGGCCCAAGTACTTCATTTCCATCTCTTATGAGTGAGTGAGTGAGTGGTAGAGTTTAGTTTTACGCCGCACTCAGCAATATTCCACCTATATGGCGGCGGTCTGTAAATAATCGAGTCTGGAACAGACAATCCAGTGATCAACAGCATTAGCATCGATCTGCGCAATTGGGAACCGATGACATGTGTCAACCAAGCCAGCGAACCTGTCCACCCAATCCCGTTATCTCCTCTTATGAAGCTTCCACGTAGAAAATATCCTTCTAACTTTGTCACCTATCCAAATCATAACGTTGCACTTGTCTTACTCTATAAGTCAAACATGGAGCTCCCAGAGAGTGTGTGAGTTTAGTTTTACGCAACACGGCAACCAAACAGTAGCACCTGTAAAACGTGCAAGTATGTGTCAGACACGTGCAAGTAAAGTTCTTGAAAGTATGAAAAAAATAAATAAGTTGTTTTCCAAACTATCATTAAAGTTTTGACACAGTATGCACTCCACCCTCGTAACAAATAGTGGACTGTGTCAAAATTTTAATGATAGTTTGTTAAACAACTTTTTTTATTTTTAGGACATAAATTCTGCAAAAACCTCACAGTGTTGGTCTGATGCTTTGATTATGATCAGTGTTTCATTGAGTATTATATGTTTATCAGTTTTCGAGTTAGATTGCAATTCATCGGTCCAATTTTGAGCCAAAGGGACTATGACAACCTCAGGTTGTATCTGTCTCGTTATTTACACAGGTTAAAGCAATCGTATAAAAGTAGCATCGAATGCTGCACTTAGTTATATTGTTGCATAATGCATATTTGAACAAACTATATACACAATTTTTACAGACCTTGAAACAAAAACAATGCGAACTCAGCCCTTGCAAATCCAGAATATGTGAGTGAGTGAGTTTAGTTTTACGCCACACTCAGCAATATTCCAGCTTTATGGCATCCAGAGTATGTGACAAGTCTAGATTTATGCATAATGAAGAACGTCTCTGGGCTATTTATTTTCTGTAATTAATCTTCATTTCACAGATTACATATTGGTCGAAGGAGGGATGTGCTTTGTATGGGTTCAACGTGGTAAATCCATCGCCCATAGTTGACCTTGACCGTTGTATGTTATTGAATACTCACTAAAAACACCACGGCAGAGAGAAGTTGACATGAACTAGAAAGTTCGACAATATTTTGCATTGTAGACAAAAGCAAATTGGCTGCTACAGTAATAGACGTTTTCCATCAAAACCAAAAGCATATTCGGAAATAAAACATAGCGGTCTTATTTATACCCAAACCTATTTCCCGCCCACAGTAAAACGTATAATTACTTATACACGTACATGAACGCACGCATGCACGTACGCACGCACGCACGCACGCACGAACACACACACACACACAAACCTGTGTGGAGTCTCAATACCTAATTGCGAATATAGGAACACAAATATAGTGTGAAACATACAGTCATAAACAGCAGGAATACGTGACAAATGTTTATACACATGTATACAAAGACATATACAAAGACACAGACGCACTTACACTGCATATCAGTCAGTTGGCCTGAGAGTTCCATTCAAGCTATTTCATCATTTTGGTAAAACGGTCAGATTGGGCACAAGTATCACACGCTTGCCCTAAAAACACATTGACGCTGATTTAGTTCCTTCAACTTTCCATCATTGTTCGGGAAAACATCCTCTGGTTTGTCTTGTCCAGACTCGTCTTGTCCAGGAGTGAGTGCGTGAGTGAGTGAGTGCGTGCGTGCGTGCGCGTGCGTGCGTGCGTGCGTGCATGAGTGAGTGAGTGAGTTTAACTTCGTTTTTAGCAGTACTCCAGCAATATCACAGTGGGGGACTCCAGGAATGGGCTTCACACGTTGTATCCATGTGCGGAATCGAACCCGGGTTTTCAAGATGAAGAGCGAACGCTTTAATCACTAAGCTACCCCACCAAAGTGGATAGATGAGGACTGATGACAACATGATGCCACATAACTGTCACAGTTTTAGGAAAATTAGCTGTGAAACACATCTGCTAATTGCCAAGACAGAACACGGTTCTTCATGTTTTTGGATGACAATGACAACTTTCCTCTCCAACCCTTGAAACTGACGCGGGCGAATGTACAACACTGATTTTGTATGCCCAAAGGCATCCTGCTTGTCTAGTTGCATAGTCATCCTATCAACAATAGGGACTTGGCAAGATCCAAGAAATTCTATCTCGCAAGTTGGTGTTTCCCTGTCGTCCAACAAGATGACATCGGACCAGTCTAAATCACTTCTTGGCGTCTCAGGGAGAGCCAGCATATTTCGGGTTTTGCTGAGTTCAATCTCGTGGACAGACACATCCTCGCGCTCCTGTGTCGCCTTTTCTATTATTCCAAGTCTGTTGAGAATGTATTGAAACTCACCTTTGCATATCCGGCAATCTCGAAGCAAACACACAGAGTCCAAGTGTTTGTGATGTATAATGAAACACTCTGGTCCGTCGAGGGGTCGTACTTCCTTGAAGGAATAATCAGCCGTTTCCCTATCAGAGATGTGGATTTCAGCTTTTTTTTGATATCCTTCAAACCCTCCTGATGTCGCTGCCAAACATACTAAGTTGTCTGAAATAATTTCAATATTCAGAACCGGTCCATCATGGACCGGCGACGATGTTAAAGGTAGGGCTGCTCTAGATAGGAAGAAATGTGCAAATGTTATTTCATTAAACACAAGACCGTTCCATGGACGAAGCTTGTTCTGCTTGCTATTGTTACCTTGACTTGCTATTGTAGCTATCTTGTCATTTCCAAAACCAAGTTTGTAAAGAAATCTAGCAAATTTCTTCTGGTTATATGTGGTTTGGGGTTGGGTTTCAGGAAGTGTATCGTGATCCCTTACATAAACACGTATGGTTGTATTACCTCCATATACAAACTTTGCTACTCCTTGCAGAGACGACAAATCTCTTTGATCCAAAAGTATAGACTGCCTCATCTGATTCACCAGAAATTGTGCACAATGGAATGTCCAGCTTTTTCAGTTGTTGAAAGAACGGACGTTTATCAATGCTGAGTTCAGTCATAGTTCGTACAACGGATTTTGTGTTGGGAAGAGGCTTCAAGCCCACAGAAGCAAGATGACTGTCTACCTCCGATATTGGAATAGAACCACAGAATGGTTCTTGAGGTTCCCCTAAAGTTTGGCCAAAATGGAAGTATAGAAGGTGGGCATCTAAGTATTTCTTCCAGAAGAATTTGTTGAAACCTGCCATTTTGAGGCTGACATATGTTGTCATCTGAAATAAGATGGCACAACTGTCTGCCTTGATCAACATCATGTTCTTTGGCTATTACAATCCACAGAATGCACTCAGCAGGGAATACCGATAGCGTGGTCTGAATGTCTAGATCAACACAATGACAAGGACATTCATCAATGAGAACATTTAACTTCCTTGTTGCACATGTTTCAAGAACACGTCTAAGAGATTGTTGGTCAGTAACAGGCACTGTGAAGAGACGTTTTCGGATATTTGTATCGTCCTTAAATCCATGCAGAATTGAAGCATAAAGAACATGATGTAGAGGGGGATTCAGCCATGTTTAGGACACATACCTTTTTCCCTTCTTTCAACAATTTTATTGCTTGTAAGATGAGCAATATTGTTTTCCCCGATCCGTAATCTCCCCCTGAGAATTAGCCGTTCAATAAAACTGTTATGTACAGCAACTTGGGTTGGGGTTAAAACAATGTTCGAGTATCTGTTTCCCAGCCCTGCTACACATTGTCCATAACTTTTTCCAGGTCCTTCCTTCTCATGTCCAGCTGAAGGTACTGGTATCTTGACAGTTGAATGTTCTCCAATGTATCTTTCAATGACCCTTCTGTACTCTTCCAGGGATGTAAATCCATGTTTTTGTTTCGCTGCTATTCTCTTCCACCATTCCAACAAGTTTGTTACCGAATTTTCTTTCTCGATATGAGTGTCATCTAGAAACAGACAATCGTGTGTGGAAAATCCTGATTTCTCAATACGCTTAACTGATTTACTGAAACTCAAGAAAGGCTTTCTAAATATATTTGGAAATGCAAGGATGCATGCTGTAGATACACCTTTGACTCCCGGAAAGTTTGTTCCAAAAAAGCGTCTATTTTTCTCCTGCTGAGAAAGACAAGTTTGGATAACACTTGCCACTGCGTCATCAGATTTACCCATACATCCCTTTGTCTCAATGAATATCAAACCGTATTTGTAGTGGATAATAAGTACATCGTGTTCACCTTTTTCCTCACACTTGTTATCGTACAAAGTTGTCAAAATGGTAAGATGTGATGATGAAAACAGCAGGTACTTTTCATCGGTTAGATGTTTGAACAAATATTCCAAACACTTTGCAACCCTCTTCTCTGATTCATCGCCCAGAAGGTAATAATACTCAGGACTATAAATGTATCCAAACTCAGTTTTCTCTCTCATGACAGGAGGATGTCCAACGGGTATTGGTGGAGTCATGTAGACAGTTGTATCCAGATTGGGAAAGTACTTGTATATGTACTTATGGAATGCATCCTTTGCAGATAGTGTTCCCAGTACTTTCCCTGCATCTCTGACATGAACGTCTTCGTTGCCTGTCGACAGAACAGATGTGGTTTCTGTCCTGGATGACTCTCCGGCATAGTCTTCACCATGCTGGGTAAACTTTGCTGATGGTGCTGCCGTGTGTTTACTTTGGGAATTTCCTGGTTCTTCCAAGTGAGTTGAGCTGCGGTTCTGTGGGTCCTCAATATCATCGATGGCATTGTCTTTAGTGTTTGTCGAATCTAGTGGTGGATCTTTAACTGACAACTCACGCAAGGAAAGTTCCATGTTCTTTGCCATACTCTCATCCTGTGCACTCTGTTCAGCCATGGTTCAGATCACCGTAGACACACCTGTCAACAAACATGCTTGGATGACATAAAATAAATCTCTTCAATAATTTCTACCTGTCTACCTGAATACTTCTGTCTGTCTGTATTTTCCTTCTTACCTTTTTTTTAAATAAACTAAACGCCAAAAGAAACGTTACCCTCCTACATTTATGAATTACTTAAAACAAAACCATCAAAGATATGTTAGAAGGTATTAGTTTACAAGAAAGCTTAACAACACAGCTTTATGCAAATCACGAAAACAAATCTCAAATGCATTCATATTTAGGTGAAATGCATCTTTTTTTTCAGAAGAGTTGAATTGTCCTATTTCGTCCATGCCGAAATAAACCAATAACAGTCATTTAGATGTCCAAGAAAAAAAGGTTGAAATAAAAATTATGCTTTGAAACAAAAGATACACCATTTAAAGTCGCCATTTTTCAACTATTAAAACAAGAAACAACCGTTGTAGAGTGTGTAAATTGTAAAACAGTAATTCCTATGAATTCAGTCATTTAAAACAGTTTCTGCTGATTTGCAGTAATTAAAACAAGTAGAACGTGGCTTTGATATTGTGAAAAACTGTTTAGGAACATCTAAAATTATCTTTGTTAACATTTAAAGTAACATTTTCTTCCATTTTCTATTTACATATAGCAAAAATCAATCGCAAAAACGCAGCAATACCCAAACGGTTTTTGCATCCATTTCACGTGTAAAATGATTCTATAGAGGCGAGAATATTTGATATGATACACAGTACGAGAAATATGGCGAGAGACAGACCAAGAAGTGGATGTCTACGCATCACAACGCCAGCTGTAGATAGTTACCTCCATCAATAAGGAAGGAGGGTAACGTTTCTATTGGCGTTTAGTGTATATACCTCTCTACCATCCTTAACTTTCCAACTCCCTCTATCACTTTACCTGTCTTTTACCCTCTTTCTACCTGCATTAAACGAACTTTCTATTTGTGGTGAAAGCGTTCGCTCGTCATGCCGCAGAACCGTGTTCGATTCCCCATATGGGTACAATATGTGGAGCCCATTTCTGGGGTGCCCCGCCGTGATATTGCTAGAATTTTGCTAAAAACAGCGGAATACTAAACTCACTCACTGACACCTTTCTGCCACCATATTTACCTTTACCGTGTCTCACTATCCGTTTCCCCTCAACCTGTCTATTCCCCTCCCAACCTGTATTGCTCTTTTTACCTCCTTACCTATCTACCCGACTCCAGACTGATATATCTTTACACTTATTTACTTGTCCTTTATAGCCTTTACCAATCTCTGTTTACCGGTCATCTTCCTGTATACTTATCTTCTATCCGTTTATCTTTCGACCATATAAAACTCTCGATCTGTAAATCTCTATATACCTATCTACGTTTCTATAACCTGGTCTACCACCAGTTTCTACCTGTCCAACTCTCTATTTAACTGTCCACTACCCTCTCTACAGACTCGTGAAGATCCAGGTTAGAACTGGTCTTCAACCATCCGTGCTTGTCGTAAGAGGCGACTGACGGGATCGGGTGGTCCATGCTCGCTGACTTGGTTGACACATGTCATCGGTTCCCGATTTCGTAGATCGATGCTCATAATATAGTTCACTGGATTGTCTGGTCCATACTCCGTTATTTACAGACCGCCGACATATAGCTGGAATAGTGCTGGGTGCGGCGTTAAACAACAAACCAAACGTCTACCTCCCACACCATCTGTCCTTTTTACTGACATATGGTATTTCATACCGAATAGTTACTCCCCATGCCGTTTTAAATATTGTTAGGATACTGGGTGTTCCTCGCCGTGATATTGCTGGAATATTACTAAAAGCGGCGTAAAGTGAACTCACTCACTCAGTCCCTTCTACTGACATATGGTATTTTACACTGGCAGGGATAGTTACTCCCATGCCGTTTAAAAGTATTTCATTGGAAGACTTAGTGTTAGGACACTGTGTGACATTGCAAAGATACAGAAACCATTAATATGTCCATGACTTATTCAGGTTTATTCGGGTGATATCCTGACGAATTAAGATATGGGACATAATAAAATACATTGAACTTTCTATTGTGCAAACTGAAGTTAGCTCATAAATACTATATATGTACTGGTTGTTTTCCCAACTATTGAACAGATAAAGAAGTACGGAGTTGTGTCTAATGAAAGAATTCAGCCAGACCAAAATAGTTCATGTGCTCGAGTAGTTGTTCCATAACTTATATATATGTTACAGGGGAATATGTATAATCAGGGAATATGTATAATCAGGGAATACGTATAATCAGGGAATATGCATAATCCCCGAATTTCAGGTAATATGTGTAATGTCTGGTTCACTCAGGGAATATACATAATGTCTAAAATTATCAGGAATTATACATATTCCCTGGTTTTAGGAGAGGTTTTTTAGACATATTCTCTGAAACTGTTTGAAAGTTAAAATGCTTAACTTATCATTGTAGCACCTCCAGACGGAATTATTGAAATAAAATATTAACAAGAAACTTTTATAAAAGGTTGTTGGCGTCTTCTTATCAACTTTTGTACATCCCCACACTGTAAAACTCCTATTAAACTCAATTCTTATTAAGTCTATTGCATACAAGTATGCTTGAACTTTTGTGAATACTCACTAAATGTGATCTTACATGCGTACACACAAAAATGTCAAATCTTAGCTTGCGTACCGGTGGATAGATAAAATTACTGAGTCATATTGAGAGGTTCTATTTTAGGACATGAACTTGGCAACTTGCAGTCTTTCTTATCGTTTCTCATATTAAAGATCAAATCTAAATAACAAACACTATCATTTAAACTTTATTATATTTTTGCAATTAATAGAAAATGGCAAAATACCCATATGACTTTAAGTGAGGTGAGTACAATTGTTTTGGTTACTCAATTTAAAATTAGGATACCCAACTGAGATGAACACTAGCGAGTTCATTACTCAATGACCCAAAACGTTATCTGCAGCTCTGAATTCTTATTATTTACTGTAATCATATAACATTATCAGTACCATCATGACCATATATCTTTAGTTGTATTTACTCAAAGGAATTGAAAAAGGTACATCAGGAATACAAATTCACATACAAAATAATGAAAAGTTTATATAAATCTGGAAAACCCATTTATAATCAATATGGTGTCTTTTTGAGGAAGAGTGAGAGAGAGAGAGAGAGAGAGAGAGAGAGAGAGAGAGAGGCGAGCCGAGTTATAAGTATAGTAGGTACAATGTCATTGTGACATTAGCAGCAGCAGCAATTATAAATGTTAATAACATCCACAAACAAATGCTGACAGGATCTCTTTGCGTGACCGCCATGCCCTTGTCATCACCACAATGCTTTTACACGTCTAGTTTTAATATTCTGTCTGTTTTGACTCTCCATTTGGGTACTCATTGTCGCATTCCTTCAAATAAACGTCGATGACTAATTGAAGCCGGGGCAACTTACGACATGTAAGGGTTATTCCATCACTTAATAATAAATGTTTTCTACAAGTGTACCTTTTGGAGGAATGTAGAAGTGTTGAATTCGGTGAGGTTGTGAGTTTACACAATGCCAGCATAAAACTGAACAGACGCTGAGTCAACGACTCGTGTGAAATTAATAGACGCCCTAGCGTCTAGCAGAGGAAATACGATATCAAACAGTGCGCCAGCCCAACCCAGCATACCATGGCAGGCACTCACGTGTAGTCGATTTCACATACAGTCACACACATATATGTATACACAATATATTCATCCACTATTCTAAACGTCGAATGAATACTAGCACGTGAAATAGAACATGGATAAATAACTGTAGCCTTACTATGGGGTGATCTTACCATGAGCTGAGGCGAGGTACACCATATGCTCACCGCGCGTATGCTCCACGTTGTACAACGCCGGCAGGATAATGAGCCTCTTTCTAATAGAATCCTTGTTTAGGGCCTAGAGTTCCGTTTCTGAGAATCAGTTATGAGGGTGTCCTAGTTTTGCGGAATGCTACATAACCGTTAGATATGGTGTGTCGCCAGCCCGGCTTATGACATCCACCATGTGCACGATATCTCACACTCTTTTTAAATTGGGTCACGCGCCATAATGGGTGACATGGAGCTGGGGTTTTGTTCGAGTGTTGAATAGTAGCGGAAGTCTTAGTTCGTCAGTATAATTTGAGTTACAGTTTTACATGTCGAGCTGAAAGATATTCGTAGACAATGAAAATGATTATAAACTGTATTTTTTAAAAAGATAAATAAACGGTCATTGTATCATTTTCCATAGGTTATAAAACGAGTTTACACAACAATGGGCTAAAACTCCAGTGGACTGTATGATGTATTTTCCCGAATGAGATTGTTGTGAGAGAAGGTCTGTTCATTATACTACAGGAGTGTGGATGAGCTTTAATGCTCTACATGTAAAGAAATGTTCGCCAAGTTTCAGTTTGAATATGTCGATAGGTTCAAAATGGTTTGGTTTAAAATGAAAACACAAAGAGACTGGGAGAAAATGTTCTCAAACTTAAAAAAACCTGACAGAAAAACGCGAAGCTGCCAAATTATCCTTTTTCTGAAAAAATATATGACTGACTCGAGTGCCTTGCCGAGTACAGTTTGTTGTGGTAAGTTTTACTGCAATGGAGTACAACATACCGGAAGTAATGGCCATCTTCGGAAATCGGTGTTATCCGTGCACCCTTTGACATTCAACTTTCCGTGTTTTACCATTAGCATCTATCTGTACCTCTCAAGGTCGGTCTGATATTTATATCAGATATCAACTCAGGATTTACAACAGGAAGAAATTCATCTTAATGGACACGTATTTCACTGATCGTTAAGCAAATTAAGATCAAATATAATGTTCTAGTTTATAAGGTATACAGCTCGGTGGAGTAGCCTAGTGGTTAAAGCGTTCGTTCGTCACGCTGAATACCGGGTTCGATTCCTCACATGGGTACAATATGTAAGCTATTTTCCGGTGTCCCCCGCCATGATATTGCTGGAATATTGATAAAAGCGGCGTAAATAAACTCAATCTCTCATAAAGGATTATATACATATTAACGATTAAAACTTTTAGAATCTACGAAAGGTCTGACAGTGAAGGTGAACATCTCAACCATGGATAGAGGTCAACCCTTATGTTTCTGCATTAACCCCAAATGTGCAAGTTTAAATCTTCAAATTGCCTCACTAATTTTGCAGAATCTCACCTACAACATAAAAAATACTTATATATTATAAGCTACAACACCAAGGGCCTTTAGTGAAATCAGAATTTCCTTGCGTAATCAGCTAAAGTTTGCAGATCTAGAGTAACGACGTTGACTTAATACAGTCAGTGAATTTCCTGTTCAGTTGATTTGCGATAGTTAACAAAATCTGGGAAGAACATGTCTTCCTAATTTGTGTAATAAGTATAAACTTGAGCAAGAGAGGATATATTTTCTCAGTTTAGAAGACAACATTGCAATGGAAATTTGTCGTTGTTTTCCATAAAATATGTGTTTTCTATAAGCTGAACAGGTTTCACAAATATACTAAAAACTCCTATAAGTAAAACCCAACTGTACTGTTGGGGTCTTCATGGCCTGAAGTACTGAATAAAATGTGATTTTATGCTTGACATACAATTTTAAATATTGGTGGTTCAGGATAATGCAAGTCCAAGTCCTGACCGGCGGTACTATTATTCCTCCCGTTTGGAGGTTTTACTTAAGAGTAAACATATTGTTTTACTGGGGTGAAACACAACCCAAAATGAGGTTTTTTGGGCTCAAAGTAAAATCGATTTTTCATATTTAGTAGCAACCACCTATAAACTATTAAGTGAGTGAGTTTAGTTTTACGCGCTTTAGCAATATTCCAGCTATATATGGCGGCAGTTTGTAATATAATCGAGTCTGGAACAGACAATCCTGTGATCAACAGCATGAGCATCGATCTGCGCAATTGGGAACCGATGCGTATTGTCAACTAAGTCAGCGAGCCTGTCCACCCGATCCCGTTAGTCGCCTCTTACGACAAGCATGGGTAACTGAAGGCCAATATTCTAACCCGGACCTTTACGGGTATGTAAACTATTAAAGGCTCATTATTGATTTATAAGGTTCTAAAGACCTGTAGTTCGTAGTTCTTAGCTCCCAAACATGAGCCAGCCCAAACGTAAGTCATAACACAGAAAAGAATTCCGGACATGGAACAACATTCCCCAGGCTTTCTTCAATCACTTAGTGTCGTCTATGCTTCGTTGTTTGTCAAGCCTGCATCAACGGTAATGGTTTACACATGCGATACTGAATTTATTGAACCGAATTTTGACACTACATCTCTTCAAGGGCGTGCCACGATGCCTAGTGCGTAAATCCGCACAGATTTGATATTATCCTGTCAACAGTTAAGCGGTGATTAAGAAAAACACCCACAAATCATGTTATTATCTTTTTGCATTTAAAATGGCACAACATCAAATAATGCACATTTAGCACTATTCCAAGTGGTATATACGCAAAACAATAACGTACAAAACAATTTCTATAATCACGGAATCACAGGAGTCACTGGAAAAACTGTGGACATGACTGTCGGGAAAGGGATGACGATCTTCTATTCAATGCATATCCCTTTCCATCAAGTTATATTTTTGTCCAGCATACATTTCACAAATGTTTTCGAAGATTTCAAAGCCTCCTGCGATTCTTTCAGGATCAGGGTTGTAACTTGGCTGGGTTTTGTAAAACTTTCTTGGAAGAAATTTCCATATTTGAAGCATCAGTGAGAACGTCACTGACTATCTTCCAAATCTCCAAAAATTACCTCTCTATAGCATATGTTCCTAATTGTGGGAAGAATTAACTTTGCTTGCACATGGTTATGACGGGTGCAACCGGTGGGGCAGGAAACGGTCGCCTTCCGCTAACAGTTAGTATCGACACCATTTGATGGCGATTCATTAACATGTTTGATATCAACGGGCCGGAGTCTGCTTTAAGCAAAGATGTCTTAAAAATTATAAAGATTTAAATGGGTGTGTCTAAGACAGTAACAACTTACTAGAGCAATAGCAAAACAAAATATCCCCAAGCCATAAACATGGCTGGTAGCGTTGACGGCGTTAAAGAGAATGGGTAATTGAGTGAGTATAGGTTTACGCCGCCTTCAGCAATTATCCAGAAATATCAAGGCGAGGACGTTGTTAAAAGTGCGCGATGGCGTGAATTAGTGTTTGGGATCACTCGGCTAAAGGTTGATAGCATGATAGATGACCCATGCCAAATCATCCTCCGCTGATGTGTCACACATGGCATATATGCCATACACCGCCACATCAACAGGACAGGGTTCAGCCAGCAATCAACTTCTCTCTTCCCTCAATATTATGATACGTGTATTTTCCAAGACAAGAACATCAGATCAGCTTTCACACAAATTAAACAAGACTTATTTCCTACAAAGTAATGCGGCTGATAAAACAGATAAAGCTAATTTGCGAGGGACTTCACACAATAAAATACAAGTAAAGTCAACATAAACTTATTACTTTCGATTAACTGTACTTAATTTTTCCAAATGATATGCTTACATACTTCAGAAAACGTAAAAGCAGGAGAATATATGCCAGCTTTGGCGTAATGGAGTGAAATAATGATAAAACTATTTGAAATGGACAACTGAAATTTAGTGAAGACACCGGGTGTTCGCTAATTAATATGCGCATATCTGCCTTACCGATAGCAGTCGCCTTGTACACAATCATAAAACAAATATTTGTTGTTTACCCTGACAAACAAAAAAAAATCAAATGAAAAATACAAGTCCTACACTATAATAAACAAGTGAACAGATTGTACATGGCATCAAGCTTCATATAAGAATAATTTTTAGCATTTCCAGACAATAATATTGTAGTAATATTCTTTAGTACCAGGACTGCAACAGCTACAACACAGAAGCAGAAAGAAAATAATGTACTGATCATAATATCACCCTTCGGAAAGTGAGTAGCAAAATTGCAGATTTGTGTGTGCATTAAAGTCTCTGCTTCCTAACCCGAGGCACCAGTGGATGTTTCAGCATAAGTTTGTATGATAGTCTTATCTGAAGCCAAAGATTTCAGTCTGGTAACGTTTCGGTAAATGTCATCACCAGTAAAACAATCCACATAATCCAGACACAGTTCAGATCAACATGATTTTTGGTAATTAACTCATGGTGGGTTGCGTGATAATCATACGGACTTTGTGCGCATGATTGCCAATGTCACAAAGATAATGGATGTATTTCAATTTTTGAAATTGTCACCGGTCACATGAATTTCACGGGTTATGTCTTATTATTGCGTTGCATTTGAACGGAACTAACACGCATTGTCCACATGGGGTTGCTTTTACTTGATGTAATGCTATATCAATGATCAGAACTGCTTTTGATAATGATAAGACATTCCAGATTATGTGTTTCCGGAAACCTTCTGTAACCTGATATAAGATTTGGAACTATCAGATAAAATATTTATATATCATTCTCTATCATGTGAACCAAGTTGTTTGATTAGTCAGTTGCCTTTTTGAAGTAGCCAATAATGTCAGGTCGAAGACGTAATGTGACGACAATGATGGCAATACAGGCTGATGCAGGATATCCGCTGGCGATAATGTATTAATCAAACGTTAGGCTATGAAGGTGTTGCTACGCTATCGCATGACAGAAGCTCCGAAACGAACCAGACACACTGGACGAGAAGGTATAAGCCCACTGAGTACCACTTAATGACAATCTTTCAGACTCAGGTACCGGATGACATATCAATTTGACTTTAATAATAATCAGCGTTGGCGAGGGACATCTGCTCACAGCCGAGTCATGCAAATCATTGTCAGTATTGACCAATGCAACCTTTTTCTCTGGCCTCTAGAAGCATGTCTGGAGTTGTATAAACGACACGGTCTTCATATCCGTGGGGACTCTACATCAGGTGATCTTGAGTTTCATTCGGTAGATCAATCGTCATTAGCAGTTTGTCTGTCATCCAAAGAACAACAACATCATACGATCAGCTTAACACTTGGTTGTTGTGGTAAGCTCAACATTTCTTGATGTTTCATTTCGTT